GATAGGGAAGGAAGGCAAGGGATACAAGGTAGTTAAAGTGAGTCAAGTTAGTTATATTTAATTGAAAGGGTTGAAACATTGTCTCTGGGTGTGGGACCAGTAGCTGCTGTTGTCTTTTCCTGGTCGGTGCCCAGCTTGTGAACACGTGCACTTATATAGATCAGCAGATATAATTATGATCAATGAATCCTTGATGGCCCTCTTTCAAGGATTAGCCCACTTGAAAGTTGAGGAAATTTCTCCAAGAGGTCAATGGGAGGGTGGTGACCCCGAGGCTGTCTCTGATGAGAAATATATTTTGTGATATGGGCGTAGACATATAGGAAAGGATGGAGTAGGAAATAAAATATAATGTGGGCAGGAAGTTGCAGAGAGGGATACAAGTAGGCATAATGAAAGGGAGAGAGATACATTTGATCAAAGGACGGTTAGGGCATGCTGCTTTTCTAAGAGGTCTGTTGCTGCAAACTTGGTTCATACATGTGCTGATAGGAATCAGCACATATCTGTGCTGAGAAAAATAAGAAATAAAAATATATAGAATGAGTGACTCTTCTGAAAAGGGTTTTGTTGCTGGTGTCCCACTGTGGAGATTGTGAAGACCTTGTGGAAAATGGGGAAAGGGAATAATTTTCTTCCATTTGACCCAGATGTTCAGGGTGATAGTATGATAGCTGGGTCTGGAAGCTCCGAGAGTTACGGAGATGCCACAAAGGTGGCTGTGAATAAGGGAAGAGAGGGGGCGGAGTGAGAGTGGGGAGAGCGAAGGAAGGAGAGAAAACAAAGGACACTTAGGGTAAGAGTTAGGGCAAGGTTTAGGATTTGGGTTTGGGTAAGGGGCAGAGGCGGCTCAACCCATTATGCAAAGTAAGCATTTGCAGTATAGTTGATTTTGCCCAGGGGCGCTCTTGAGGCGCTCTTGGGGGAAAATAGACCTTGACATATGCAAGTTGTAGTTACTGGGATGTATAGTTCACCTACAATCAAAGAGCATTCTGAACTCCACCAATGATGGAATTGAACCAAATATGGCACACAGAATTCCCACGATGAACAGAAAATGTATATCAAAGGGGTAAAGGAAATATACATTACAGTCTCTGGTTGTCTTGGGTCCAAGGAGATTTCGCAACTGAGAAGCTTTTCAAGGTTCCCTCTTTTCAATGGCTGCAAATGCCTGAACATTCACAGCCCCAAATCCAAATGGCCTGTATTTGAAGACACAAATCGGTGCCACAGGACTGGTTTGAAGGTGCTTGGGTCTCCTCAACATTGTCCAGGGCAATCTGGGCATGAAGTATGAGTCCCAAGGGTAAAAACCTTAGAATTGGTGATGAGAGGTAACTTAATTAAGGGCTTTAGAGCCAAGTCTCTTTCTCACGTCTATCTGATAGAAAGTTTGATGGTAGAATGGAAAAGGAAAAGCTCTGCCCTCCTCCAGGAAGAGGTGGAGCCAAGCAATTGAGCTGAGGAAGCAATATAACTGGTGCAAACAACATTGATTGACAGCTATAAATAACCAATCAATCTAGGCAAGTTTGGGCATGCTATACAGTTTAAACCTTTGCACTTTAAAGTTCTACACACAGGTGGCGGCACTCGCGCCGTCACAGTTTGCTTACCATTGAAAATGACCTAGGGCCGCCTCTGGTAAGGGGTTAGGCTTAGGCTTCTGGTACGGTTCACGGTTAGGGTAAGGCTTAGGGTTTCACCATTAAAGATCTCTTACATTCCTTCTATATTATCTGTCTCCGGCCTGGCTTACATTAACTAAGTCTCTCTTGCACAAACAGCTCTCCCAAAGGAGCAATGTGGCATCTCAGTAATGCTCGGAGCTTCCAGACCCAGCTATCCTACTATTACCAAGTTCAGCTTTTGTGTAATTGTTGAATAATCCTGCCTAATAGGCAGAGGCGGCCATAGGTAATTTTCAACGGTAAGAAAACCGTAGTTTGCCCCCCCCCCAAACCAATCACTGATATATATTTTCTGTTCATCGTGGGAGTTCTGTGTGCCATATTTGGTTCAATTCCATCATTGGTGGAGTTTAGAATGCTCTTTGATTGTAGGTTAACTATACATCCCAGTAACTACAACTCACATATGTCGAGGCCTTGGTCGCTCTCTGGAATGGGGAGATGGCCAGGGCAATCGACATGATCGCTCCGGAACGTCCCCTCTCAAGTAGCCGAGCTAAACCAGCTCCTTGGTTTACTGAGGAGCTGGCAGTGATGAAGCGAAGGAAGAGGGAACTAGAGAGCGTGTGGCGTTCGGATCCGAGCGAGTCAAATCGAACACGGTTTGTGTCCTTTCTAAGGGCATATGCCGCAGCAATAAAAGCCGCAAAGAAAACTTTCTTTGCGGCCACTATTGCGTCTGCAAGGAACCGTCCGGCGGAGTTGTTCCGGATTGTCAGAGGTCTTTTAACTCCCGCCACCCCAGGCGGGAGCCCTGACAATTCGGTCACGCGCTGCGAAGCATTTGCTCGGTTCTTTGCAGACAAAGTCGCCTTGATCCGTTCGGGGCTGGACACCATGTTAAATGCAGTCTCTGAGGATGTGACACGAGCACCTGCTTGTCCTATTTTGATGGATTCTTTTCAGTTTGTGAAGCCCGAGGATGTGGACAAGATACTTGGAGGAATGAGGCCCACCACGTCCATCCTAGACCCCTGCCCATCCTGGCTTCTGAAGGAGGCCAGAGGGGGATTGGCTGAGTGGGTAACGGTGGTGGTTAATGCCTCCCTTCGGGAAGGCAAGATTCCAGCGAGCTTAAAACAAGCTATTATAAAACCGCTGTTGAAGAAACCATCATTGGACCCCACTAAATTTGATAACTTTCGGCCTGTTTCCAATCTCCCCTTTTTGGGCAAAGTCATGGAAAGCGTGGTGGCTTCACAACTCCAGGTATTCTTGAGAGACACGGATTATCTGGATCCGGCACAGTCTGGTTTCAGACCGGGACATGGAACTGAGACGGTCTTGGTCGCCTTAGTGGATGATCTGCGCCGGGAGCTAGACAGGGGAAGTGTGTCCCTGTTGGTGCTCCTGGACCTCTCAGCGGCCTTCGATACCGTCGACCACGGTATCCTTCTGGGGCGCCTTGCGGAAATGGGCCTCGGGGGCACTGTTCTGCAGTGGCTCCAGTCATTTCTGGAGGGCCGCACCCAGAAGGTGTTATTGGGGGACACCTGTTCAACACCACAGCCTTTGTCTTGTGGGGTTCCTCAGGGCTCAATACTGTCTCCCATGTTGTTCAACATATACATGAAGCCGCTGGGAGAGATCATCCGGAGTTTTGGGGTGCGGTGTCATCTGTACGCAGGTGATGTCCAACTCTGTCACTCCTTCCCACCTGCTACTAAGGAGGCTGTTCAGGCCCTGAACCGGTGCTTGGCCACTGTGACGGTCTGGATGAGGGCGAACAAACTGAAATTAAATCCAGACAAGACAGAGGTACTCCTGGTCAGTCGCAAGGCCGAACAGGGATATAGGGTTACAGCCTGTGCTGGACGGGGTCGCACTCCCCTTGAAGGCGCAGGTTCGCAGCTTGGGTGTGACCCTGGATTCATCGTTGAGCCTGGATCCCCAGGTTTCAGCGGTGACCAGGGGAGCATTCGCACAGCTTAGGCTCGTGCGCCAGCTGCGCCCGTACCTCGGGAAGTCTGACTTGGCCACGGTGGTCCACGCTCTGGTCACATCCCGCCTTGACTACTGCAACGCTCTCTACGTGGGGCTGCCCTTGAAGACGGCCCGGAAGCTCCAGCTAGTCCAGCGCGCGGCAGCCATGTTACTAACAGGAGCGGGACGCAGGGAGCACACAACGCCCTTGTTGTTCCAGCTCCACTGGCTGCCGATCTGCTACCGGGCCCAATTTAAGGTGCTGGTGTTGGCCTACAAAGCCCTAAACGGTTCCGGCCCAAAATACCTTTCTGACCGCATCTCGGCCTATGAGCCCACGAGGGCCTTGAGATCGTCTGGGGAGGCCCTTCTCTCGATCCCGCCAGCCTCACAGGCACATCTGGCGGGGACGAGAGATAGGGCCTTCTCGGTGGTGGCCCCCCGGCTGTGGAACACCCTCCCTGTAGACATCAGACAGGCGCCCTCCCTTATGTCATTCCGCAAGAGCCTAAAGACATGGTTATTTGAGAAGGCATTTAATTAAATGCTAAAATTAGTTTGGCAAAGACGACTGGAACGGAATTAGGATTATGAGTTTGGTTATGATTCTACTATGAGACGGAGCGGATCATTTAGTGTAACTATATAATTGTTGTATTGTGGATATGTTGTTTTGTTATTGCCTTTTGTAAACTGTTTTTATATGTTGTACACCGCCGTGAGTCGCCCTAGGGCTGAGAACGGCGGTCAACAAATGCAGTAAATAAATAATAAATAAATAAATAAATATGTCAAGGTCTATTTTCTCCCAAGAGTGCCTCAAGAGCACCCCTGGGCAAAATCAACTATACTGCAAATGCTTACTTTGTGTAATGGGTTGAGCCGCCCCTGCTAATAGGACCAGTTATAGTCGTGCATGAGCTGCAGCTTTGAGTCATCTTCAAGGGCTGTGTGGAACGGCCCAAAGTTATTTCAAACTTACAGAACTGAAAAAAAAATTAAATGGTAATGTTATGAGTGTGCAGTATTGTTTGCAAAATCAGACTCAAGTAGGGGGAAAAAACATACTGCCAAATCCATTAACATCACATTCCTGTTGTGAAAGACTTTTGCCACTTTGGTCGTCTTTTGTGTTGTGGAAGATTATTTCACCCAGCCAAAAAGTAAGCCTTAGGCTTGAAACGTGGACAGTTGGGGCACTCCAATGGATCTCAAGCATTTTAGAAATCTTTTAGGGTTTGCATGGCTTGTGTTGAACTCTTCTTTCTTAAGTCTGGTGCGCCACCTAGTGGCAGAATTCGGGGCTCTTTTCAAAGGAGGGGAGGACTGTGTTGGGCGCATGCGCAGCCCTCACCCGGAAGTAGAGGCTTCTTCTCTTCCCTCGCGATGTGACCGCTTCCTGAGGCTCCTCCTCCTCCTCTTCCTCCTCCTCCTCCTCCTCCCTCGGCCTCTTCTTTCTTCCCGTGTTCCCCGGCAGAGGAAGGTAAGGGCAGGAGGTTTGGAGGGGAAATTCTCCTTCTTTTGGGAGGCTTGGCAGGGGAGTTGTCCCATAGCATGCCAGATTGGGAAGAGATCCCCAAGGGCCACCTCTTCAGCCATGCAAGAACACCCAATTAAAGCATTCCTGACAGAGGGCCATCCTGCTGCTGGAGAATTAATGGAATTTGAGACCACTCGTGGCTCAGTGTGGTGGAATCATGGAAGCTGTCTTGGTTCCTCATTGAACTGCATCTTCCTAGGATTACAGAGTATTAATGCCATGGATGTTAAAGTGGTGTTAAGCTGCATTCATTCTACAGTGGAGATAAGGTATGGGCCAACTTGGGCCCTCCAGGTGTTTTGGACTCCAACTCCCACAATTCCTAACAGCCGCTGTTAGGAATTGTGGGAGTTGAAGTCCAAAACAGGCTGTTAGGAATTGTGGGAGTTGGAGTCCAAAACACCTGGAGGGCCCAAGTTGGCCCATACCTGGTTAGATGCATCTAAAATAGTGTTAATTTGGGGGTGTTACTTTGCAGAATTGGTCAGCCATGCTTCCTTGTGGAAAAAAGGGATTCTACAAACTTTTGGCAGTTAAAATGGTATCAAAATGTGTTCATTCTGCAGTGTAGCATGGGTTCCAAACTTTAAAAGCGGTGGAAGGTCTGAAAAGTCTGCTTTCTCGTTGCAAATAAATGGGGATTTTCTGTCCTCACTGAGGGCCCTTCCACACAGCCCTATATTCCAGAATATCAAGGCAGAAAATCCCACAATATTTGCTTTGAACTGGGCTATTTGAGGGCACTTCCACACAGTCCTATATCCCAGAATAGCAAGGCAGAAAATCCCACATTATCTGAGTGTGGACTGAGGGCCCTTCCACACAGCTCTATATCCCAGAATATCAAGGCAGAAAATCCCACAATATCTCATTTGAACTGGGTTATATGAGGTCCTTCCACACAACCCTATATTCCAGAATAACAAGGCAGAAAATCCAACAATATCTGAGTGTGGACTCAGGACCCTTCCACACAGCCTTATATCTCAGAATATCAAGGCAGAAAATCCCACAATATCTGATTTGAACTGGGTTATCCGACTCCACACTCAGATAATGTGGGATTTTCTGGGATATAGGACTGTATGGAAGGGCCCTCAGATAACCCAGTTCAAAGCAGATATTTTCACGTTTTCTACCTTGATATTCTGGGATATAGGGCTGTGTGGAAGGGCCCTGAGACAGAGGTAGCATTATTTATGCTTAGCTGTGTTCTTAATCACTTCCGTGTCCATGCTAACTTGTGTATCAGATTGAAAGTCTAGCAGTCCTGGAAGACAGGGAGGGAGTACTTTGGACAAGTTAGGCCCTTCCACACAGCTGAATAAAATCCCACATTATCTGCTTTGACCTCAAATATATGGCAATGTATTTTTATCCTTTACCATTTTAGCTTGTAAATCGCCTAGAGCATCTTGGATGGAGGGCGATTAATAAGTAATTAAATGATGATGATGATGATGATGACTCAGATATCTTAGGACCCTTCCACACAGCCATATATTTCCCAGAATATCAAGGCAGAAAATCCCACAGTATCTGCTTTGAACTGGGTTATCTGAATTCACATTGCCTCATGTAAGCCGCCCGAGTCCCCTTTGGGGAGATGGTGGCGGGGTATAAATAAAGATGATGATGATTATTATTACATTCCAGTTCAAAGCAGATGTTGTGGGATTTTCTGCCTTGATATTATGGGACCCCTGGTGGCACAGTGGGTTAAACCACTGAGCTGCTGAACTTGCTGACATAAAGGTTGGCGGTTTGAATCTAGGGAACAGGTTTAGCTCCTGCTGTTAGGCCCAGCTTCTGCCAACCAAGCAGTTCTAAAACATGCAAGTGTGAGTAGATCAACAGGTACCGCTTCTGCGGGAAGGTAATGGTGCTCCATGTAGACATGCCGGCTACATGTCCTTGGAGGCATCTATGGACAACGCCGGCTGTTTGGTTTAGAAATGGAGATGAGCACTACCCTCCAGAGTCAGACATGACTAGACTTAATGTCAGGGGAAACTTTTACCTTTTTTTATTCTGGGTTATATGGCTGTATGGAAGGGCCCTTAGGCCCTTGTTCGGAAGAGGTTTGTGTTTCAGATGTTTCTCTTGGTGAGAAGTCAACCACGTTCTAAAATGGGGTCTGTATTCCCTCCCAGTAGCTAAACTGTTAAACTGAAGTTAACATTGTGGAAAGAGCAGATAAAGATCTCTGCATGAAAGGTTGAGCCAGTCACATGGCCTAACCAGGCATGGGCAAATTTCAGACTCCCAGAAATGGCAGCCAACTTACTGGCTATTAGGAATTATGGGAGTTGAAGACCAGAACACCTGGAGGGCTGGTTTGCTTATGGCTAGGCTAAACAATTGGGGAGGTAAAGCAGAGATAATAAACATAATTATTTTTATGCTTCCTAAAATCTATGGCTTCAAATATAACTAGAAAGAGTCTCTTGGCAGCTTAAAGGCTTTGTTGTTGTTGTTGTTGTTGTTGTTGTGTGACTTCAGGTCAGTTATGATTTATGGTGACCCTAAGGCAAACCTATCATGGGATGTTCTTGGCGAGATTTGTTTAGAGGGAGTTTGCTTTTGTCTTCCTCTGAGGCTGAGAGAGTGTGATGTAAATCTTGTTCTCCCAGCATCCTAATCCAGCACTCAAAGCACTAAACACTGGTTCTCATCGCTAATACTTTTTATTCACTATTAGCTTCACGTGCATGTAAGTGAGGATCTGGACTGAAGTCCATGAAAGCATGACAGACACACGCACATATTATGCATATTACCATTTACATTCTTGCTGACACTAGCTTAGTAGCACAATTGTCTGTAGAATAAATTTATTTGAAACAGGAGGGCTAATAAAAGTGTGAGACTTCACTCCTTAAATGACAGCTCCCAGCTAGACTTTGGGGACACTAGCTTTGAAAAAAGGAAATAATTTTAGAATTGACTATGCAGGACTAAACTTCTCATTTCTTCCCTAATGAGTATTTCTGAGATATGTTTCAAAGGAAGGACTTTCTGACTCATTCTCTGCAGCATTTTACTTACTTAGTAGCTGCAGTATCCCCGTTTAACTATGTTATTTTAAATAAGTTACCAGAAGTCCCAGTAAAACTGGATGTATGCCTCCATTTATCATAGTTCCTTCTTTCAGATATTTCTTTGAATAGGTGTTTATTTTATTTGCACATCACTTTACAGTGAAATATGTGTTTTTAGAACTGCAAGACAAGTTAAACTGGCCCAACCTGCAGTGCAACATCACCATGCCTGAGGTTATAATATATCCTTTAATTAGTTATGCTTGGATTTCTTCAGGAAAAAGAAAAAGAATTGTAACATTTGCAACTTCTGTATATGATTCCTTAAATCCTAGTGTGGTAAGTGCATTGTAGAAATGGGCAAAGTGTAATTTTATGAGATCATAAAATTATCTTGTATACTCATGTATAAGTCTAGACATTTTAGTAAACAATCACAATAGTAAACAGTAAGTTGACCCAAAAAAACCTGGGTCGACTTATTCATGAGTCAATGTGAGTACTGTAGCTTATCAAAAAAGGAACTGCCCCCTTCTCTGAGTTAGAGTAGTGAAAGGCGAGTGCCTAATTCATCCCAGAAGAACCTGAAAGAAGTACTGACTCCTCTCTGCTCTCTCTGTTGTGGCACCACTTCTGGCCTTTTTGAATTCTGGTGCAGGGAGATGGGCAGTGCAGCCATGGACAGTTGGCCCTCTGAGATGACACTAGCACTTTCCCTTTTCTGTGTAATGACCCTCCATGTACCGATGGGTCATATCAAAATCCATAATTTTGACCCTAAAACCTTCCCTTAATGACTGGTGCACAAGTATATAAGGTAGTGTTCACCATAGCCATTATGTGTTTTAGTTTTGTTGTTTATTCGTTCAGTCGCTTCTGACTCTTCATGACCTCATGGACCATCCCAAGCCAGAGCTCCCGTCGGCTGTCACCACCCCAACTCCTTCAAGATGGAGCCAGTCACTTCAAGGATACCATCTCTTGCCCTTGGTTGGCCCCTCTTCCTTTTTCCTTCTATTATCCCTAGCATCATTATCTTCACCAAGCTTTTCTGTCTTCTCATTATGTGGCCAAAGTACTTTATCTTTGCCTCTAATATTCTTCCCTCTAGTGAGCAGTTGGGCTTTATTTCCTGGAGTATTGACTGGTTTGATCTTCTTGCGGTCCAAGGCGCTCTCAGAATTTTCCTCCAATACCACAGTTCAGAAGCGTCTATCTTCCTTCGCTCAGCCTTCCTTATAGTCTAGCTTTCGCATCCATAGGTTACTATGGGAAATACCATTGCTTTAACTTTGCGGATCTTTGTTGCCAGTGTGATGTCTTTACTCTTCACTATTTTATTGAGATTAGTCATTTCTCTCCTCCCAAGAAGTAAATGTCTTCTGATTTCCTGGCTGCAGTCTGCATCTGCAGTAATTTTTGTGCCTCAAAATACAAAGTCTGTCACTGCCTCCACGTTTTCTCCCTCTATTTGCCAGTTATCAATCAGTCTGGTTGCCATAATCTTGTTTTTTTTTCATGTTTAACTGCAATCCAGCTTTTGCACTTTCTTCTTTCACCTTGGTTATAAGGCTCCTCAGTCCCTCCTCGCTTTCAGCCATCAAAGTGGTATCATCTGCATATCTAAGTTTGTTAATTTTTGTCCAGCAATTCTAACTGCTTTAGCTGTAGCATATTGAAAATCTAGAACTAAGGCTGTCTGTATGGGAGCAATTTTTTCTTCCATAGGCCCATGGAGAAGCTTCATGGACTACAAAGGAAATACCCAAGATGCAAAACAACAAAGGCAAAACAACCTCCCTATGCGGAGATTGAGATATAAAAGCCCAAAATAAACAAATAAAATAAATATGTGCCTGGAAGGCACTTTTGGTCTTTAAAAATTAGAATTGTTTATTCAAAATAGTGCAAAAAGAGGATACTAATCAAAAGGTGAATTTCTGCTCATGAAGCCTTTCAGGGGAGAATACCAAGGAATCTAGAGATTTCAGGAGCCCCAGTCTTGAGACAAGCTTGTGGTCCAAAGACCACATTTGGCCCGCCCCAATCTAGAGCCTCATGTAAAAATGAGAAGATTAGAATTGCCATTTGAAGTGATACTGAGAGACATGTAATCCAACATTTATTTTTCAGTAAACTAAAACCCAGGCATTATTTGTGATGGATTTACTGTCTTGATTTTTCCCTTCTAAAACTGACAGGCACACTTCCCTTAGTTAGCCATTGATTGAGCTGTCCTCCAAGAAGTGTCAAATGAGATTATTTCCATATCTCCAAGAAGTGCCAAACTAAGTTATATCCATCAAATTAATTGAAGACCTATACTGATTAAGATTTAAGATCATACAATCAATACAGTATGTTTAAATCTTTTGAGAAAGCAAGCCTTTCAGTGACTATCTGTGCTTTCACTCATCAGCATTCCCATGCTTACTGTTTGATTTTTTTCTAGTCTAGATATTTTCTTTCCAAGTTCATTGCAGTCTTCATTTGAAAACAAGGTTATAAAATACTTTTGATAAATTATGAAGTTCTGGTAGGCAGCTCTTGAATCTATCGATACATATACTACAGCCAGAAAGCATACTTAATAGGTTGATAGCTGGTAGAGCTTGCTTCTTATTATTAATGTCTAGAATTCAAGATGAGTGATAGTTATGGGATAGCTGTTCCTATATTTTCTACATCACATGTCTGCAAATGTCATGGTCATTCTGGGTGAGTGATATTAGGAGCCACATGATTCTTAGTTGGCAGTGATTTCCGTTTGGAAAATAGTAAATGTAGATCAGAGTCAAATCAAGACTTATGGATTACCGCTGTTAACTGACATTTATTTTTACTAAACACTGTTCAATTAAAGTGCAGTATTAAGCACCTCCCCACTGTCCTAAATAGTCAGACTCTGTGGCACCACCCCTGGACTTTAGTTTCTTTCTGATAAGATGGAACACAAGCATTCTGCTGATCTTACTTCGGTCATTGTACTTCTAGGGTGCTTTAGGTTTCGCTTACTTAGGGAAATGCTGTCAGCCCTGCCTTTGATAAATTCAATTTTTCTGCATTTCCCCCCAATCCTCATGAGCTCAAAGGCATGTCAGCTCAACACTATCCCACTCCTGTGAAGGACAGAAGAGATTTCCAGTTATCAGGGATTTTTTAAAATCCATAAGCACCCAGTAATTGCTGGCTGATTAGGGTAGGGTGGCATAGCCAGAAAACTTTGTCCTACATCCCACCTTAAGATGTTTTTGCTCAACCACTGGGTTTTTAGTTCATAAAATACTGTTAGGTGCTGGGCAGATGTGGGACCAGTAGATGTGATATGGTGTAGTCAGAGGCTCTAAACACTTACTATTAGAAAAATATGGATTGATGTGAGCCCTTACCTATATTTATTTTAGAAAATTGGCTGCTAAGGCATCAAAAATGGGTTTCACATTACACAGTTGTGTTGTATTATAACAAAAAAGAGTTCAGATTGAGGATAAAGGGAGCTGTAGTTCAACACATCCGGAAGGTACCAGACTGAGGTTGACTACAGTAAAGTGAAGCATCTACCCAGGCTCAGGCCCTGGATGCAATCTCACCATCCTATCCTTCCTTCTCTCTTTCCTTCCTCCCTCAATTCCCTTCTACCCTTCCTTCCATCCTTCTCTTTTTCCTTTCCTTCCTTCTCTTTTTCCTTCCTCCTTGGGGATGTTTTTCTGGGAGAAGAGAAGGTAGAGAGGGAACACGAGAACCATGTTTCACGATTTAAAAGGTGTCCCATTGAGGAGGAGGGGGGAAACTGACTTTCAGCTGCTCTAGAGACCGGGGCACAAGGGAGCAATTGTTTCAAATGGCAGGGAAAGAGATTTGACTGAAAAGATTTGGAAGAACTTCCTGAGAGTGAGAGCTGTTGGAGAGTGCCACAGGCTGCCTCAGTGTGTGGTGGAGTCTCCTTCTCTGGAGGCTTTTCTGCAGAGGCTGTCTATTGGGAGTGCTTTGATTGTGCCTTCCTGCATGGCAGGGAATTGGATTGGATGGTCCTTGGGGGTCTCTTACAGCTGTAGGATTCGAGGATTCTATATCAGGAGTAGGCCATACGGGGTCTCATGGATACACTTTTCCTCTTCCATCCACCACCTTATCCTGACCAAGGCTAACCCTTTTGGGATCCAAACATTTTCCATCTTCCCTTCACTTTCTGCCTCCAAAAGAGAAGAGGAAGGGGGGGGGCACATGGGGAGAACCCCCTCCCTCTTGGCCTGCCCACCCCGCTCTGGTCCGTCATGTGGCCCCAAGTTAGAAAGTTTGTCCATGCCTGTTCTAGTATTGTGCTTTGTGGGATTTTATGCTGTTGTTTTTTTTTTTTACAATTATACACTCTTTTCCATGTCTCTTCCCTCAATGTGGGTGACTTGTGCTCAGGATATGTTTAAGTTATTGTTTTGTATTTCTTGTCTAAAACATAATACTATCTTCAGTACATGTTATCTAGAGAAGAAGATCAAATTAAAAGAAGTAGCCTTGTGTTGAGGACCTTGTAGCTAGAGTAAATGCTGCAAGTCAGGAGACCAGTGATCGCTTTTTCTTTCTGCTTCTCTTCTTTCCAGGTCAAAGTTGAGATAGGGAAACTTGTTCTCATTGGAAGAGATACCATGGGTAGCTGAGTCAGTGCTTGTTTGGGTCACCAAACTTCCTCAATATTTCTTATTAGAGGAACACCGAGTAAGCTCAGATGGAAGTTTAATACAATAATAGTTTTAAGCTGCTGATAGCAAAGAAGGAAACACATTTCTAGGGTTACTTATTTCACTATTTCTATCTAATTAATTCCAATAATATGTCATTGAGTCAGGAGAATGAGTAACCAATAATAGAAACAAGTTTCAAAATACTCTATAGTTTTCTCGATCTTTGGCAAACCCCAGTATGAAATCTGGTCCTTCTGTAGCTCTGATGGGCCAAGAGAGATTATTTTTCTAAATCTTCATTATTTCAGCACTCACTTAGAAAAATGTTAGCGAAAACTGTACTGTAAACCAACATAACATTTATGTGGCCATAGTATATAAATAAACCGATAAGAGGACCATCCTGAGGACTGCATGAAGGTGGATGGCCAGGATAGAACTATTACCACCTCTCTTTGAAAGGAGTATTTTAAAAATACCTTTTCGAAGAATACCACCTCATAGTGGTAGGCATGCTCTCCATGAAATTTCAGGCATGTGGATGGTGTAGGGCAGCAGTGGGAAAACTCAGGCCCTCCAAATTTTGTGGCTTACAATTACTGTTATCTTCATCCAACACACAGTGGTAAGGTACCATGGGAATTGTAGTCCAAAACATCTGGAGAGCCAAATATTCTATATCTAAAGGATGGTGCGAGCAACTTGTGTTTACTAAAATATGTAAGGCCATACTAAATCTCAGTTGACACATAACACTCTCTTAAAGTGTTGGCTACGTCATGCAATAATTATGCATTTCCTTTTCATCAAATCATAGAGTTGGAAGAGATCTTTTGGGCCATCCAGTCCAACCCCGCCAAACAGCAGGAAAAAGTAACACGAATGCATTCAGTATTTGCATGAACATATATATAATCTTATTCACACCCCCTCCCCCCGCCATCATCACGATACAAGATTTAGGCTCATATTTCTTCTTACTTATATGAATTGATTGAACCAGAAGGTCACTTTCTTCCTTCTGGCTCATAAAGATCTTCTGAATCAGTTCTGTCTCTGTTTTACTCATTTTTCCAACTTGGAAATAATAACAATGCTAATCAAGCTGTGTAGTTTGTCTTCAGAATGGTTGGCTGATAACCCTTAGCAATTGTTGTGACGTAATCTACAGCATGAAAAACTATCTTCTCATGTTCTAGGTACAAAGAAAACCCCAACAGCTTTATTAATCTAATATAAAACATCTTCCTACATATCAGTGGTGTTACACATCCTCATTTAGTTCCTCTTAAACCTTGTTCCACTTGATACCAAAACAATTGTGTCAGGCGTGGATTGGGAAGGCCTAGATTTAAATCCCTGAATAGCCTCAAAGCTTGCTTGGGTTATTACATATCTCTTATCCTAACCTACTTAACAGAGCTATTGGAAGGATTAACTCATTGTGGGAGAGCTATGAATAAAATGTTAATATTAGCTGCAAAGATCTAAAATGAAATTTGATTACATGCTTTTGACATAGTTTGGGGAAACTGCCTTGTTCAATTGTTATTTCTCACTTTTGAGCCGGGCTACAGTAGATGGGAACTGTGATTCCAAAAATAATGGATCACGTTTCTACTTCGGCCCTATGTAATATACAGAAGAACTAAGTCATAAGAAGGGAACAGCTTCTTTTCTTATTAGTCCTACTGAAGAACCCACATCTATAGCATGCGGAAGATTGTTGTCTTCAAAGTAGCAACATAAATTATTCTTAGTACAGTTTAACTGTACTAAAATGTTTTCCTAAACTACTTAATGATTCCTCATTTTGTTTCACACTTACTAAATCATCTTTATTTGTTCTTGAAGGTACAGAGCATGGAGAATGATGAATTTCCGTCAGAGGATGGGATGGATTGGTGTGGGATTATACCTAATAGCAAGTGCAGCTGCATTTTACTATGTCTTCGAAATCAACGAGACTTACAACAGACTAGCACTTGAGCACATTCAGCAGCCCCCTGAAAAACTTAAAGAAGAAACTACGTGGATGCACTCCTTAAAAACACGGCTGCTGTCGGTACCCTTTTGGCTGTGGACCATTATCTTTTTAATCCCTTATTTACAGATGTTCTTGTTCCTTTACTCCTGTACAAGAGCGGATCCTAAAACAGTGGGATATTGCATCATTCCTATTTGCTTGGCTGTTGTTTGCAATCGACATCAAACATTTGTGAAGGCCTCCAATCAAATCAGCAGACTGCAACTGATTGACACTTGAATGGATCCGTGCTTTTCCATGAGTGTTTTTACATAATCTGAAGATGCTTGGCTGTGTCCGTTGAAAATATGAATGCAATTTGAAATTCTTTTCATCAGTGTTAACTACTGAATAGAACACTAACTTTGTCTTTTTTAAACACGTTCATTCAAAGTATGGGTATGTTCAAATTGGTGGAATAACAGCCTCCTTTGAGATTAGAGGATGACATTCTTCATATTTGCCTTATAATGCAGAATTTCTACACTCCACTGGAAGCTTTTGAGAAAAAATGTTTTTGAAACCTTACATCACTGTGTCCCTTGCCCCCATCCTGAAGAGGAGAATCAGTGAAAATTGACTCGTCTGTTGTTATAATTTGTACATTTTGGAATGATCGTACAAATGGCATTTAATACATTGTTGTGCTTTCTTCTTCAATAATGTTGCACTCAATAAAACAGGGCTCTATTCATAGACACAGAAGAACATAAATGCCTCATTTTTTTCCTATTTCTAATTCAGTGTTACTTGTTAAGACCAATCTTTACAAAATTATTTTTTCATAAATGGGTATAATCATTTAACACAGTGATTCTCAACTTGTGAGTCCACAGATGTTTTGGCCTCAATTCCCAGAAATCCAAATAGCTGGTAAACCGGCTGGGATTTCTGGAAATTGTAGGCCAAAACACCTGGGGACTTACAGGTGATTTAACATAAGGTGAAGACTTCGTAAATTTACCCTGGCAGGTTCTTTTTAAAATGGATTTGAACAGCTTAGACATTATTTGTCTTTCTAGCTGCTTTCTCTGCCCAATAGCAATGATAATACTGGAAAAGAGCATGCTTTAACCCTTGTTTTGATATGAAAACTTTTTTCTCAGATAAGTACAAACATGTTAGCACCCTCTGCTGCTTGCTCAGTGGTTAGATAATTGGGAAGAACTGCTTGTCCTAGAGCAGGTAATAGCAAGATTAATCCAGAGTGAATTGGCCAAAAACACACTTGAAAAAATACTTAGTTGCATCAAGTGCTGACTATATCATTATTCTTCAGCAGTTGAATGGAGATCTGGATGAACATGTGTCTGCTCTGCCCATTTCTATTTCTTGGGCTAAGCACATGCTTGACAATTTAGAATGAAGTCCAGTGTAAAAGCAAGCATTTGCACCACAGAATTCAACCACTGGAAACATTTGAATACCTGCAATATAGCTTAAATCCCCTGAACTGGTTTCTGCTAATCTCCTGGTTAATGTATTGGTCTTGGCTTAATATCAAGTGCTTTCCGTTTAAGAAAACAATGGTGAAAAGGAAATATCAATGAAGCAAAGTTTTTTTCCTGCTTTAAAATAACATTGTGTAGCTTGTAACGTACCATAGATATTTGCACAGTGCCTTCATTTTATTAAGCACACCGGAACAAAAATGCTTTTAAAGTAATTATATTCTTTAAAGATTTCACGTGAGCATTGTGTTTGTAGTAGCAACACTGTTTCCATTCTTAATACTCCCCAGTACAATTGTATTGCTTAGATTATTATAGTTCCCCTGAAATGGGATCCCCTCATCGGTAGAGCAATTTAAGCCTTCCATCACTGGATCGGTTATATCCTGTTTACTTCAGATATAGTTTAAAATACCTCCTGTATGCTCCTGATACGTTTACTTTAGAGCAATAATTTATGAGTATGAAACATTTAGGAGATTGTCGGCTCAACTATAAACAGTATTGACATGCCAGCAACTTGTCATCTATTAGTAAGCATTGCCTGAAGTTTTTTTCCGAAGGTAAACTAGCTGTATTCAAAGTTGCCCAGGGCTAATTGCTATTTGTAACGCTGCCACAATACCAATTAGGGCAACTGTGTTCTCCTACATATAGAGATGCACATGTGGTGTATGGGAAATCGTAGCTACTACATATAAACATGCATGTTATTTCCCCAAAGTCTGAGGAACAGCAATATGAAAAATTGCTACAAGCTCAGATTTGATCTAAGTACTGTATTATTATAAATAGCCACACCTCTACTTCTCTGATATGAAAGCAAGATAATTTTCTATTATGTTTTAATTCCAAGCAACAATGCTGTAAGAGAAAAATATTGGGTTGTCAGGTTTTTTTCTACCAAAACGGACGTTTTCAATGTAGAAGAGAGAATACTTTTCTTGGCCCATCTCTTGCTATGAAAAAATGCATTCCTTATTGGAAATGATGTATTGTTGCTCAACAGCAGTTTATCCTTAAAGCATTTGTTGATTCTTTGACATGCAACAGCAAATTATATTCTTGATTAAAAGCCAGTGCCTCATTAGACAACTAGCCTACCATTTGGTTTTTTTGAACAATTATGGCAGTTTCTAATTCAATGGAGCTTTTTATATTATCAGAACACGTGATCCAAGGTTGATATATAACCCAAAAATGTTTCTGTTTGGGTGTTTTCATTTGGGCAAGAATGTAGGCCAAAAACCAACTGAGTTCTTATACTGATGAAGGCAGAGCAAAAAAAAAAAAAAAGTAAATTTCCTTCACATGTAGCGTCTAGTCTTGTACATTCTCATTATTGACTCTGGAGAGTTGGGAACCTTCCACAGAGTTTCAGGTGATGGGTGGCAAAGGGAACAACAGTAGTGGCTGCTGCATGGGATGCCTTTTTCTAGACCTGATGGTAGGACAACTTCTGGAGCAAAGACTTGGAACATGGAGATCCAAATTCAGACATGTTACATTTAAGAATGCTTAACAATTATTTTTGTAGTAAGTTCAGTACTACCCTCGTACCCATGACTTCACTTCCTTCCATCTGATAGAATATGTCCTATGCATTTTCAGAGACACCCAGATAGTTCTATAGTACACTTCTGCTGGCTTTTTAAGCCCTCCATGCTAGTCTATTGTAATTTCTGGAGGAAATTAATTTCAATAGTGTTTGCTATTCATGGTTTCCTGTTTCAATGATAAGCTCAGGAATGTATCCTCTGCAGATATGAGTTGCGTTAGTATTATACATAGCCAAACATTGTTTAACTAATGAACCATATCTGAAATAATGGTTTAGAGACTTAACTATAGCATAATTTTGTTTGATGTATGAATTGACAAATCACCACTATGTTACTACTCTGCAGCTATTAAATACTGTGACTGCACCAAAGAGAAGTTGCAAACAAGGATAGAAAAATGAACCTCAATAACTATAAATATTTCAAGTTGTTCACTTTTGATCGAATCTAAAATAATATGATATTGTTGTACTATTAAAGGTACTGCACTCCAAACTATGCAGTACTTTCAAAGAGCTGTTGTGGGGAGGAGGGCCAAGGAAAACTACTTCTCTCAGCTCCCTTACTTACATGGAACTAACTCTTAAATTTAATTGTGCTTTTAAATGACAATCTGCAGAAAGCAGCAGAACCCAATGATTCCTCACTGAATCTGGTCATTCCTTAGAGAAAGACTGAGGGGGGGGGGGGAGTGAAAAACCTCCTTTCATTTGCCTTTCTCCATAGCAGCAAAGGTAAGGAGTGGGGATATGTATATTTGGCCCCATAATACCAAAACCGTCTTAGCCATCTAGGCACGCGTACACACACACACACACACATCATACCTGAGGGCCCTTCCACACAGCCATATAACTCAGAATATCAAGGCAGAAAATCCCACAATATCTGCTTTGAACTGAGGGCCCATCCAGACAGTACCTTTATCTCGGGAGCTCCCGCAACAAACAGGAGGGTGGCCAAACGTCGTCCTCTGTAAATGCAGAAGCAATAGCTACAAATGGCCAAAAATGTGAGATTTTCAGGTGTGGGAATATCCCGGATACGAGTCGAAAATCCACATCTTTGAATGTCTGTATGTCCCTGCACTCAGAAATCACAGGATTTTTTTTATGTCTGTTCCTGATTGGTCGGTTCCTAAAAAGAAGGTGACAGTTGAGTAGAAGGCGAAAACTTTGTTTGTGTGCCAGAAACTTTATGAAACGTGTAGAGGGCATATTTTCTCTGGCAAGGATAAAGTTGTGCCCTCCTAGTCAACATTGTACATCTTTTTACAAGAAGAGCAATCAGGAACAGACATGTGTAACTCAGGAACAAGACCCTGTCTGCACAGATGGCCCTGCAGCTTATATAACCCAGGAATGGAACTTATAAAATGATTTGAATGTTTGCATCTTTTTTTTTAAGTCGAAATGTCTAGTGGAAGTATCACAGCGACCATCTTGGGGACTGCAAAATCCTGCGACAAAGCAGTAAGTGTGGATGACGGAGGCAGAAATCCTGGGAACAAAAGGGCTGTATCTGGACAGCTTCTCGGATCCTGTTTTTTTTGTCCCTGATTAAAATGTGCAATTTAGTGCTGTCTGGAACCGCTAGCTGCTTGTCAAATTTGCCATGGTGTGAATGCTATGTGCTAAAATATTTCTTGGATTTAAGAAATGTTTCATAATCAACAATGTGTTTTTAAAAATCTTACAAACATATGCACTTTAATTTTTAGACAATATTCACAAATATAATACCAGTTTCCCTTTACATTATTATTATTAAATCAATAATAAAACAACGAAAAGCTTGGTATTTTTCGGGTTATCGAAATAGACCAGCACTCTTCGGAGGGAAAAGGTCCAAAAAAGCTGTTTAGCTTTTGTCAAGAGTTCCTTTTTGTACGTTTGAGTGGTGGTCCGTCAGGACATGGCTTGGCATTCACGTGATTCTCTTCCTCATCTTCATCCTCCTCATCTTCATCACCTTAGGTTAGAAAATTAGTAAGATTAATTGAATTTATATTTTTATCCTTTACTAGCTGTACACGCCACATGTTGCTGTGGCTAACCTTCCCTCCCTCTTTCTCTACTTCCTTCCCTCCCTGTTTCCTTCTTTCCCCTTTTTCTTTCTTTCTCTCCTTCCTTCCTTCCTTCTCTTCCATCCCCCCTCACCGTTTCCTTCCTCTTTCTCCCTTTTCTTCCTTCTCTACCTATTCTTGGACTGCAACTCCCAGTAGTCCTCCTGATCCATCTACCTACCTACCGCTATCTAATCTACCTATCTGGAGCATTGATGGGTCCAGGAATAGGAAATTGGAAATATGCAGGGATTAGAATGCTCTCAAAGAAATCCAAGGAGAAGAAAGCTTGCAGCTTGGAAGCAGCGCATTTGGATCATCCTCCTCTACTAAAAGGCCCGGTCTAGGGGATGCTGGGAACTGCAGTGTGGAAGAGTGTGTGGATATGCTATTGTGTGCTTTGTTTGCCAGGGGGAGTCATTTTTGCACATGTGCTGTAGCATCTTTTTGCTTTTTTGGCTTTTTAAGTCCCTTCCACTGTGTTTTTAAGATTGATGATCACTCGTTGGCCTGATAGGTATATTTTGTCCAAATTTGGTGTCAATTCGTCCAGTGGTTTTTGAGTTATGTTAATACCACAAACAAACATTACATTTTTATTTATATAGACTAGCTAACCCCTGCCACGCGTTGCTGTGGCCCAGTCTCGTGATCTGGAAAATAAAGTAATGAGAAAGTGTTGGTTTCTAATATATGTAATTTCTTTATGCTTGTGGGTAAACAGTATTTTTTGTTTCTTTGTCAGTGTTCATATGGAGATTGTCTGGTTTGCCTACTCTGGAACACGCAACATATAATTGTTCTTCTTTAGAGGTCCCTTTCAAATCTATGATACTATATTTGTGTGTGTTACTCATATATATCTATCTATATCTATGGCTGGATGGCTCTTTGTCAGGAGGGCTTTGATTACGTTTTCTTGCCCTGGTGAAGGGAGTTGGACTCAATGGCCATGGGGGTTCTGTCTGGGAAGTTTGGCCCAATTCTCTAGTTGCTGGGATTCAGAATGCTCTTTGATTGTAACTGAACTATACATCCCAGTAACTACAACTCCCAAATGTCAAGGTCTATTCCCCCCAAACTCCATCTGTGTTCATAATTGGGCATATTGAGTGCTCGTGCCAAGTTTGGTCCAGATCCACCATTGTTTGAGTCCACAGCGCTCTCTGGATGTAAGTGAACTGCAACTTCCAAACTCAAGGTCAATGCCCATCAAACCCTTCCAGTATTTTCTGTCAGTCATAGGAGTTCTGTGTGCCAAGTTCAATTCCATTGTTGGTAGAGTTCGGAATGCTCTTTGATTGTAAGTGAACTATAAATCCCAGCAACTACAACTCCCAAATGACAAAATTAATTTTTTTGAGTGATGGTCACTCCTTGGGCAATTTGTCCAGTGGTTTTTGAGTTATGTTAATCCCACAAACAAACATTACATTTTTATTTATATACTAGCTGTACCCGCCACTTTCTCTTCTTTCTTTCTCTCCTTCCCTCGCTCTTTCCTTCCTTCCCTTTTTTCTTTCTTTCTCTCCTTCCTTCTCTCCCTCTTTCCTTCCTTCCCCTCCCTTTTTCTTTCCCTTTTTTCTTCTCCTTTCTTCCTTCTCTACCTCTTTTCTTCCTTCTGTCTTTCCTTCCTTCCTTCTCTCCCTCTTTCCTTCCTTCCCTTATTTTCTTTCCTTCTCTCCTTCCTTTCTCCCCACCTTTTCTTTTCCTTCTCCTTTCTTCTTTCTCTACCTCTTTCCTTCCTTCCTTCTTTCTTTCCCTCCCTCTTTCTTTCTTATTTTCTTTCTCCTCTTCCTTCCCTTTTTCTGTATTGTCATTTAGTTTTTCATCATTTTGCATTTTCGGAGGGTTTTAAGTCCTTTCCACTGTTTGGGGGGGGGGGGGATTTATGAGAGATGGTCACTCGTTGGTCTGTTAGGTGTATGGTATCCCCTCATTTTTTCTTTCCCTTTTTTCTTCTCCTTTCTTCCTTCTCTACCTCTTTTCTTCCTTCTGTCTTTCCTTCCTTCCTTCTCTTTCCTTCTCTCCCTCTTTCCCTCCTTCCTTCGCTCCCTCTTTCCTTCCTTCCCTTATTTTCTTTCCTTCTCTCCTTCCTTTCTCCCCACCTTTTCTTTTCCTTCTCCTTTCTTCTTTCTCTACCTCTTTCCTTCCTTCCTTCTTTCTGTCATTTAGTTTTTTGGGATTTTTGAGTCCTTTCCACTGTTTTTTTTTTAAGGGGGTTTATGAGTGATGGTCACTTGCTGGTCTGTTAGGGGTATAGTGTCCAAATTTTGTGTCAATTCGTCCAGTGGTTTTTGAGTTATGTTAATCCCACAAACGAACATTACATTTTTATTTATATAGCTAGAAGATAAGAAGAAAGGTGGCATGTATGGTCAAACCTCGGCCCTCCAGGGGTTTTGGACTCCAACTCCCACAATTCCTAACAGCCTCGGGCCCTTTCCTTTTCCCCCTCAGCCGCTTAAAAAGGAAAGGGCCCGAGGCTGTTAGGAATTGTGGGAGTTGGAGTCCAAAACCCCTGGAGGGCTGAGGTTTGCCCATGCCTGGTGTAGCTGCTCCCTGCAAATAGACGGGCCCTCCGCCAAGGCCTGCGGGGCCCTCACCTGCATCCGCGCCCGGCTCTCCTCCGCCGGCGCGGCTCTCCTGCTCGACCAGTGGGCCGAGGAGGGCGCTGACTTGCTCCCGAAGGCGTGCCAACCCCCCGAGGAGGCCCCGCAGCTCCCCCGGAGGCTCGCAAGGGACCCGCAGCGGCCGCTTCTCCCCTCCGCGGCCTGTCAGCTCCGCTCGCAGCTCCATCTCGCCCTTCCCGCCGTGGCTAGGCAACCAATCCCCTCACCGCTTTGAACCGGAAGCAGAACTTGCAGGGAGAGAGAAACTCGACGTCATAGCCCCGCCCACTCTCTTCCTCAGCTGTTTTGCTCGCTCGGCCTCATGTTGTGCGTTGTTTTCTCCAGCCTCGCCTCCTTCTCGCTCTGATTGGCTGGCGCAAAACCGCTCGATTCCGATTGGCTCAGTGGTCTCACGTGATTCTGCTCCCTTTTCTTTCCCTCTTATGATCTCAACATCAGTCTGCATAGTTAACATTTCGCCGTCTTTAGAGGCTCTGATTGGCTCTCGCAGATCTGCCCGGCTCTGATTGGCCCTTCGCGGCTCACGTGATTCCGCTCCCAAGTGCTCAGCTTTCCTCCGTCCTCTAGCTTTGATTGGCTCCCGCGTGCCACGTGACTCATCCTTTTTCCTTTTTTTTTGGTCTCTCCCCTCTTGAGATCCGTGAGCGTCGCGGCGACTTTCGTTTCCGCTTCCGGTGGTTGGGGCGTTTTCCCGCCTTTTTTCCCCCCTTCTCTTCCTGCTTGTCTTAGTATTGTTTCTGTCAGCAAGATGGAGAAGGAGGCGCCGGCAGCTGCGGCTTCGAACTCCGGCAAAGGCGAGGAAGGAGACGCCAGGCCCAAGGAGAGCGCCGCCGCCGCCGCCCCCGACGAGGGAGAAGAGCGGAGCGGCGAGGAGCCGGTGGTGTCGCTGGCCGAGGTGCTGGCCGAGAGCGAGCAGCTCGAGCAGGAGGCGCGCGCCGTGCTGGGAGGCAGCGACCACGAGAGGTGCAGCTACTCCCAGGTGAGGAGGCCTCTCTGGGGGAGGCAGGGGGAAACCGCCCTTGTTAGTGTGGTCTGCGGTGCTTTCCTCTATTCCCCCCTCCTTTTCTTCCCTGCTTTCCCTCCCACACCTTTCCCCCTCATCTTCCTTTCTCTTCCTTTCTCTTTCTTTTCTTTCCTTCTGTCTCCTCAGTACCATTCCCCCCTTTTTGTCTCCTTTTCCACCCCCCATGTTGCTCCACCTCCACTGCTGCACTCGGACCCTGAAGCCTCTTTCCACCACAAACCAACTTGATAACAGCACCTGTGCAGGTACAGCTGTACCAGGAGCTCCAATGTTGTTTGCTTTGCATTCAATGTTTGTTTGCAATCCCAGGCTTAGGATTTTGCAGCATTCCTATTACAGTTTGCAATCATAGGGCAAGCCACCTGTCAATTATAGTTAGGTTCCCGGGTCCCGCCCCCTTTTTAGGTTTTGGAGGGAATAGGAACCAGTTTGAGTTCAGGACATATGCTGGACATAATACCATAGCGTAATGTTGTTGTTCTTATTGCTTATGTTTTTAATTTGCTTGTCTTATATTGTTATTGTCTGTTGTTGTTTGAGGCCTTGGCCTTTGTAAGCCGCATCGAGTCCTTCGGGAGATGCTAGCAGAGTACAAATAAAGTTTAATAATAATAATAATAATGGAGCCCCCGGTGGCGCAGTGGGTTAAAGCACTGAGCTGCTGAGCTTGTTGATCGAAAGGTCGCAGGTTCGATTCCGGGGAGCGGCGTGAGCTTCCGCTGTCAGCCCTAGCTTCTGCCAACCTAGCAGTTCGAAAACATGCAAATGTGAGTAGATCAATAGGTACTGCTCTGGCGGGAAGGTAACGGCGCTCCATGCAGTCATGCCGGCCACATGACCTTGGAGGTGTCTACGGACAACGCTGGCTCTTCGGCTTAGAAATGGAGATGAGCACCACACCCCAGAGTCAGACATGACTGGACTTAATGTCAGGGGACTACCTTTACCTTTAATAATAATAATAATACCAAGAGCTCCTGTAGAAAGCTTCATCTTCTACAGCTTGGCTGGGGTTATACAGCCCACAGCTTGGCCGAGGATCATACAGCCTTACAGCTCCTTTGCTGAGGGACTTCAGCCAGCCATCACCGAAACCTGAATTCTGTTTTCCCTGGAAGTCTACAAAGCTCTGCTTGGTAAGGGTCACTCGCAGAAGCCAGACGCAGTTGGTACCAGGTGTAGGGGCTCCATGCCAACAGAGGTAAAGACAGACTGCCCAGATTAGAAGTTAAGGATTTCCCCATTAGTTAAAATACCAGTCATGAAGATAGTGCCTGTTCCCTGTGGACAAGATTGAAAGAGCCTATAGACTAGGGGTCCACAAACTTTTTAAACAGAGGGCCAGGTCACAGTCCCTCAAACTGTTGGAGGGCCGGATTACAATTTGGAAAAAAAAACATGAATGAATTCCTATGCACGCTGCACATATCTTATTTTAGTAAGATATGTGCAGATATGTATAGTAAGATATGTGCAGTGTAAAAAACACTTAAAAACAATACAATAATTAAAATGAGGAACAATGTTAACAAATATAAACTTATTAGTATTTCAATGGGAAATGTGGGCCTGCTTTTGGCTGATGAGATAGGATTGTTATGTGCTTTCAAGTAGTTTCAGACTTAGATTGACCCTGAGTGAGGGCCGGGTAAATGACCTTGGAGGGCCGCATCCAGCCCCCGGGCCTTAGTTTGAGGACCCCTGCTATAGACTGTTAAGAAAGCCTTGAAATACCTGTTTGTTTTCATAAATAAAGAACTTTGTTGAACCTTTAAGTACTCTAGAGACTCTGTTTAAGGAAATCCAAAGGCCTTTAATCTGAGGCAGCCCCGGCGTCCCATTGGGCGCACAGAATTTATGTCCTGTCTACAGTCTTATGCACAGGCCCAGCGTGCGACAGCATAGCACCTGTCCGAACGCATCTCCCCCAATGAACCATAGCAGAGGTGACGATCTAATGGGGAGGCCCTGCTCGCGGTCCCGTCACCATCACAGGCAAACATTAAATGCTGCAAGGTGCTGGACAAAGAAGTAAATAACCAAAATGACCCAAGTCTCACAAAAAATAAAATCAACATTCACATTTTAAAAAAAATATATATAAACATTTATTACGGTCAATGACCAGCATAAAAAAAGTACAAGTGACAGGGTGTGTAAGTGTCAGAGTATGCACACATGTACAAGCACAAGTACAGAAGTATACAAGCATCAGGTTACACACACATCCGGATATCAGGAAACAATGTTAAAACAGAGTTTAAAACCCAATATTAAATAAGGTAATTAAAATGGTGTTAAACATTTAAATACTAAAACATTCACATTAAAATAATAAAGATGTTACTAAAATTGAGGGATAATAACAAAATTATGAATTCACAGGTACCTTTTCCCCAATTTTGACCCCTTCTCTCTCACTTCTTCCTCCCTTCCTTTCCCTCATACAGGTGTCACGTATCAGCAGCCAATATCAAAATTATCAAAATGTACCAAAACACTTCAGTACCGGCTTGGAAAATTGCATTTTATAGCAAAAGAAAGCCCATCCTCAACACATTCTTTTTGGTTCCTGTGCAATTTGTTCAGATAGATTTGGCACCTTTTTTTGGGGGGGGGGGGGGGGAAGCCCTACTGGAGATCTCATTGGCTTTTGATACCATTGACCATAGTATCCTTCTGGTTCGTCTTGCTAGTATGGGAATTGGAGGCACTGTTTTACAGTGGCTCCGTCCTTCCTGGAGGGCCATACCCAGAAAGTGGTGCTGGTGGACTCCTGGCCGTTGACCTTTGGGGTTTCTCAGGCTCAGGGTTGTTCCTCATGCTATTCAACATATACATGAAGTCAATGGGAGAAGTAATCTGGACTTTTGGAGTATGGTACCACCTGTATGCCTATGACACCCAACTCTACTACTCCTTTCCACCTAAAGGGAAGGAAGCTGTCCTGACCCTAAACCAGTGCCTGTTATTAGTAATGGACTGGATGAGGACAAACAAATTGAAACTTAATCTAGACAAGGCAGAGGTACTCCTGGTCAGTCGGAAGGCAGACCAGGAATAGGGATCCAACCTGTGCTGCATGGGGTTACACTCCCCCTGAAGAAATAGGTCCGCAGTTTGAGGACCCTACTGTACTCGGTGCTGAACCTGGAAGCAGGTATCTGCAGAGTCCAGGAGGGCCTTTGCACAATTAAAGTTTGTGTGCCAACTTTAATTGTGACAAACAATTAAAGTTTGTCTGCCGTCGCGCTTTCGAAGAATAGCCACATAATTTTATGCTAGTGCTCCTCCAATGTTCTTGTCCCAGGAGTCCCCCCCCCCCCCATCCCACACACACACACAGGAAGATTGGCTTAATTTCCTATCTCTCTATGAGTTCGCTCTTACAATTAGTTCTTCCCCCTTATCTCACCCGGAGTTAAAAAAAACAAACATTTTATGTACATGCAGCCCGCCCTTTGTTTGTCTGCCATTATGCTTAGTTCCTATTTTTTGTGTATATTGTTTTATATGCTTTGATGTTTTATATTTTACTGTTATGTTGTTTATTTGATTGTAATTTGTATTGTTATAATGTAATTTTTATTCGGGCTTGGCCCCATGTAAGCCGCTCTGAGTCCCCTTTGGGGAGATGGTGGCGGGGTACAAATAAAGTTGATGATGATGATGATGATTATTATTATCTATGCCTGTTCCTTGAGAAGCCAGGTCTGGCCATGATGGTACATGCCTTAGTTACATCCTGTCTGGATTACTGTCACGTTCTCTACATGGGGCTGCCTCTGAAGAGTGCGTGGAAACCTCAGCTGGTCCAAAGAGCTGCAGCCAGGTTGCTAACTTGAGTCTGGCTACAGGGAGCAGACAATCCCCCGTTTCATCAGCTCCATTGGCTGCCAGTCTGTTCCCAGGTACAATTCAAAGTGCTGGTTATGACCTTTAAAGCCCTAGATCGGTGGTTCTCAACCTGTGTGTCTCCAGATGTTTTGGCTTCAACTCCCTAACAGCTGGTAAACTGGCTTGGATTTCTGGGAGTTGTAAGCACCTGGTAACCCACAGGTTGCCACTGCCCTAGATGGTTCAGGTCCAAGCTATTTGGCTGTCCGCATCCCCTTGTATGAACCTGTCTGGGCCCTGAGATCTTCAGGAGAGGGCCTTCTCTTGGTCCTACCTCTGTCTCAAGCATGGTTGATGGGAACAAGAGAGCAGGTCTTCCTTCTCGGTGGCTGCCCCTCGACTCTGGAACGACTCTTCTTCCCAGGGAAGCCAGAATGACCCCCTCCCTACTGGTTTTCTGGTGGCAGGCTAAAACTTTTTATTCAGACAGTCTTTTAAAGAAGAAGGTGTTTAAGATCTAGTTAAGGAGTGCTGTGGTTTTTACCTTTGAATTTGTTTTAATGGTTTTTGGCTGGTATTTTTTTTACTACTTTTTGTATTTAATCCTATTTTAATGTTTGTATATTTGTATATTTTAAATGATTATGCTGATGCTTTTATGTTAAGCCACTTTGAGTCCTCTTTAGGGGAGATAAAGCAAGGTATAAATATAATAATAATAATAATAATAATACTAATAATAATAATCCTAGGTTCCCTACCGAGGAAGTAACAAAACTTGAGAGTGCCCCCCAAGAAGGCTCTCTTCCTTGTTTCCAAACTCACTTGGGAAGGATAGTAACACTAATAGAATTACACCCCAATATATATATATATATATACACACACACACACGCAAGCGGGTTTATAAGGGAAGATGCTGTCCTTCAGACAGCCTGGACCTGAGCTTTATGGGGCTTTAAAGGTCAGAATTGTGTGCAGAAATAGATTGCCCTCCAGTAAAGCTCTTGCAAAAAGAGAACAGCATGCTCCTTGCAGTTAGCCTCAGATAACTATATGTTACTGCTCCTCAGTTCAGCTGAAGCTTCTAAGCATTTTTCAAAGAGAGACTCACATAAGGCATCTTGCAGTAACCCAAACTGAAGGAATCAAGTCATGTGTTACTGTTGTCAGTCACTATATTATCTCAGAGAAATCTCAATTTGTTTGCCCTGGAGCAGTTAATCATAGATGTCTGACACTTGGTTAACATGGAAAGTCTTTCTTGGTCAAAGGAGAATTCCCAGTCTGGCAGTTTTTTCAGCGTTTGTATTTTTATGCTTCTGTTCTCATACAGGGTGCGGTGAAGAGACAAGCCCTATATGCCTGCAGTACTTGTACACCACGAGGGGAAGAACCAGCAGGGATCTGTTTAGCATGCAGTTATGAATGTCATGGTACCCACAAGTTGTTTGAACTGTATACGAAAAGGTAATTAGAGGGAGGAAGAAGAGACATTAATTTTAGATCAAGTTATTTGCCATGCTGTAAAAATATTAAAGCATCTAAAGTAGTCATAAAATCATAGAGTTGGTAGAGACCGCAAGGGCCATCCAGTCCAAACTTCTGCCGTGCAAGAATACACAATCTGAGTACTCCCAGTAGTGGTCATCCAGACTAAAAGCCTCCAGGGAAGGAGACTCTGTTACGCTCCAAGACACTGTATTTAACTTGTGAAGAAATTCTTCACAAGTTAATTCTATCAAGAAATTGTTCCGAATGTTGAGGTGGAAATGCTTTTTTCTGTAGTTTGAATCCATTGCTCTGTGCCCCTGGTCTCTGGAACAGCAGAAAACAAGCTTGTTTCATAATGTATATGGGATCCTTCCAAATATTTAAACATAAGTATCATGTCACCTCTCAATCTCCTCTTCTTCAAGTTAAGCATACTCAGTTCCTTAAGATGTGCCATATAGGGTATGTTTTCCAGACCTTTTACTGTTTTGTTTGCCCACCTTTAAGTTCCATTCTTAAATTCAGATAGGAATAACTGGTATTTCTCAAAAGAAAACAAGGAGTGATAAAAATGACTTCCGGTTTTTCGAATGGTCACACACTCAATCTTTAACCAGCAGGCAAAAGCTGACCAGAACACAGTAGAACAGTATAACCCTTTCCATCATATACACAAGAAAACCTCCAATGAGCTCACACACATAAACAGCCTCGCCCCAACAGATACAAGAACAGTAACTTTACAAACGCTCCCAAAGGACCCTCCAAGGCAGTGGTTCTCAACCTGTGGGCCCCCAGACGTTTTGGCCTACAACTCCCAGAAATCCCAGCCAGTTTACCAACTGTTAGGATTTCTGGGAATTGAAGGCCAAAACATCTGGAGACCCATAGGTTGAGAACCAGTGCTCCAAGGCAAATGGTATTTGACCTATCAGACACAAGTTCACCTTGAGTCCCCTTCGGGGTAGAGAAAGGCGAGGTATAAATTGGGTAAATAATTATGCGATCTTTTACTGCATCCATGCAAAACACCTCTGTTGAACTTCTCTGTTCACCAAGCTCGTGTTGGAGCATCTGTTCTCCAAGTTTTTTCTTAGCAGAAGATAATGTATGATCGATGTTTTGAAAATGTCAGTATTGTAGTGAAGAGAAAACTGTGACAGGTCATAGAGAGTGTAAGTACAGAAAATGTGTGTTTCAGAAGAAAACCCATTACATAGAAGTATTGCATGGGTTCTGTCTCTAAATGAAAGAAAGCACACAATTTTCGAGATTCTAACTAAGCTGCTATAATTCTTCGCTACTTGATGCTTCAGTGGGATACATCACTGTCTCACTGAAGCATCAATAGCTTATGAAAATATTAAACATTGCTTATGAAAATATCAAATAAGAAAAATGAAAAACTTGGTCTTAATTATGGCCTTGTAATGGTTACAACTGTAAATGAGATAAGTATTGAATAGAATTGGATGATCAGAAAAATAAATTTTACCATAGTTTCCTGTAGTGATATTCTATTGATATATGAATATCATTGAGACTAGCTTGCGTGAGGCTTAGCAGAATTGGGAAGACTAAAACAGAATTCTGGATATATTTTTTTTCTCTTCAGAAACTTCCGTTGTGATTGTGGAAATAGCAAATTCAAAAATTTGCAATGCAAACTATTACCAGTAAGTATGAAAATATTGTATTTCCTATTTAGAAAGAAGTGCATTTTCCCTCTCAAAAATATATAACTCTAGCTTTTTGGAGGGTGGTAGAAAAATAAGTGTGTCACAAGTTGTAGAGTTTATTTATTTATTTATTGTGCCTTCAGTTGTGGTACTGAAGTAAAAAGAGACTAATTTGTTATGTGTGCGCATTGGCCCTGACCAACTCAAAATGCACATTGTGATCCAGATAGGTGCAAGTGCCATCCGCATCTGAAGATGTATCCAAACAGATTGCCATTTGGACAGGTGCTGAACATTGAACTTTGCCTCATGTTAGTTTGCCTTGTTCAGTTGGGATGGTATTTATAGCTATGGGATCAGTGTTCTTTTTATTTAGTTGTGAAGATCACTTTAAGCTGAAGGAATATATATGTATTTGTTGGTACAGATCATCTATATTGATCACATGGGAAGTTAGGATCCCTGCTAAGCTTAATTGAAAGATTGACTTTTTGTTCTTTCTTTCTTTTTTATTTTGTTAATCCTCTAGTGTAAAAAGCAACCCTTCCCTTTTCTACTTTTTGCTTCTCTAACTTTTGAAATCTCACATAGCTTCATATACCATAGTTTTTAAGGAAGATGGCATGGTGTTATACTGGTTCTGGGATGGTTAAAATAGGATAGATTATGTCATTTTAAGCAATTGTTCCTTCTCCCGTGTTTTATTTAAGACACATTTTTTATTTCTAGGAAAAGGCAACAGTTAATCCAACAAATAACTATAACGACAACTTCTTTGGATTATACTGTGTTTGTAAAAGGCCGTATCCAGATCCTGATGATGAGGTAAACCATCAGATATGTTCAGATATGTTCAGAGGGTTTTTGCCCTTCCTTTGGCTGAGAGAGAGTGACTTATCCTGGGTCAACCATTGGGTTTCCATGTCTGAGCAGGGAGTTGAAATCCGATCTCGGGCATCATACGTATTCCAGTGCTCAAACCACTACACCATTCTGGCTCTCTGGACCCCATTAGTAGGTCCTAAATGCCTGGAAGGTTCATATGGAATCCACACAATATGCTGTTCAAGATGGGACCCAAACTGGTTCCCTTTAAAACTCTAAATAATTACCTTGAATTGGAAAATAAAGGACAGCCAGTAAAGATTTTAGAAAGCTAATTCTAGCAAAAGTTGATCAGAAGACAAGCAATAGCACTTTGTACTTGTTGAAACTTCTAAAATGTTGGCAGTTCTATATAAATTTGAAAGATTAGTAATGCTGTGGCTCTATTTTTAGATCCCAGATGAAATGATCCAGTGCATAGTTTGTGAAGATTGGTTTCATGGACGGGTAAGCACAGCTAATAAAGGGCTAGAAACATTCAGTGATAAATGTAACCTGTCAGATGAGATTTTCCTCCCTATATTTGTACGGGGCTCATAGCTCTGAGCCATAATTTTATCAGGTTACATAGATTTTGGAAGAACCTGTTTCTAATGATGTTTATATGACACATGAGTATTATTAATGCTGTGTACAAGCAGATGGGTTGTTTTTCATTTACTGGAAAAGGCGGTAGTGGAATAATGAGTTTAGGAATTTTATCATGAACTGTATTTCACAAATGTTCATCCCAAATATGGTGATTTGCTGTGATGTGAGATATTTAGACATAACTAGAGCGCTGCTTCTTAATCTGTGGGTCCTGACCCCAAATGGGGTCTCTTTTGCTCAGTGGTTTCCAACCTGTGGTCTGTGGACCACCAGTGGTTGGCAAGAATAAAATTATGGTCTGGCCTCACCATTACTGCACCATTGTCTTGAAACTCATGGCAATGAGACCAACTGGTCTCGCGAAACCCTCTTATAGTGCCAAGGCAACGGGGATGTCAGAAGGGGAGACGCTGACTACCCACATCAGCTCTAGTTTATTAAATAAATATGGCTTTCTGTGGGTGAGTGATGTTGACTACTGGGTGGCATATATTCTGTATCAGAAACTAGAGCTGATGTGGTCTATACAATGCAGTTTTTGAATCGGCACCCCAAATAACCAAACCAAATCTAAAGTTGGCCAAAATCGATTTGTAACCCTTTAGGTACTAATCTTGGAGAGTGGTCCCTTGTCAAGTGGTCCCTGGTCAAAAAAAGGTTGGGAACCACTGCTTTAGCTCAGTGTTTGAGTCCTGAAAACCTGAAATCCGTTGTTCGCTGTTTAAAGTGAACTCTGCAGAAGATGCTTCAGCTGTGCTTCACACAAAGGAAAATCAGCCTGTTTACCAAGCCTTGCAAATGTTAATTTATTATCACTAAATGTTGGATTTTTATATCTAGTTTATATACCTATGTAATTGGGATCATGTAAAAATTTCTCATGCCAAAAGGAGTTCTGAATGGAAAAGTTTAAGAAGCCTTGGATATAGAACATGAAAAAAAAAGATGTGTACTGATGCTAATGCACTGTTTTATAATTTTGTGAAAGGGTTGTTTATTTTAGCCAATATGCCAATATCTTCTGTTTTACCTTACCTTTCCTTTTTTAAAATAGCACCTTGGTGCAATTCCTCCAGATAGTGGCGATTTTCATGAAATGGTGTGCCAAGCTTGCATGGACCGCTGCCCTTTCCTGTGGGCATATGCTCCAAAATTGGCAGGTGAGAAGAACAGAAGCATCACACCTTGCTTAAATCATTTACATTTGCTACTTGTGGCATATTCTGTAGTATTCCAATTTTACACCATTGAATTGTTTTGATTCAAGCTCCCAGGCTTCTTCTTTTAAACGTTAATAACTGAACATATATATTTGGAAGAAAATGTAGCATCCCAGTTGGTTCTAACTTGCTAAACTATTGTAAGAGATAAGTATGACAATGGAGCTGTAAACTCTTGTAGAATTGTGGCTTATATTCCATCAGTCAGGGGAAATCCAGTTCTTATAGTTCATGTACATATTTTGCTATTTTCTAGTTCTTGGATTGGAAAAGAATATTGCCCCTTGACAGAAGTAACATCTTGGTTACACCACCCTGCTCATTTTGATGTCCATCTCTTATAGTTCCCACTGTTACCAAAGTTACTCCTGCAGCTGAAGATGGAGTTGTTTTGAATGTTGAAGAAACTGAAGAAGTAAAAAAAGAAAATGGTGCCAGTCCCCAGATGAAGACAGAGGAAGAGAAAATAGTTCAAAACAATGAACCATCTACCAGTTCTGGCTCTGAGTGTTCTCAGGTATCTCTTCCATAGTAGGTTACAGTTGAAAGCTGCCGCTCTTTTAGGAAAGGGAGTTGGTGTTCTTTGGTGACAATCTGGCTGACCTAAGATTATCCTGAAATGATTACCTCTAGGATTTTAAAAGTGTATAAAGCCACGTTTCTGAATTATGTGCAACCATATGATTCAGGGAATTATCAAATTCCTAGACTCAGTTGAATCTTATGTGTCTATATGTTCCCTAATATAGTAAAAAAAATGCCCAGATCATTAGTTGCTGCCAATGCAATTGGTGAACGTAGCAACAAAGAAACAAGACCATTTAATTCTGTGTAAGTGTAGTTTATATCAGTGTTTCCTCACATGTGGTTTACTAGTTTGTGTATGTATATGCCTTCAAGTCATCTGTTGACTTCTGGCAAAGCTGTGAATTTCATAGGATTTTCTTAGGCCAGGAACACTCAAGAGGTGGGTTTGCCAGTTCCTTCCTCTGAAATACAGGCTACAGCACATGTTATGCATTGGCTGCCTCTCATCCAAGTACTCATAAGACTTGGCCCTGCTTAGTTTCCAAGGTCAGATGTGGCCTCGATCTGTTACTTTATTTTTTTGAATATGCCAGAGACTGGCACTGTGTTTTTGTTCATTAGCTACTATCATCTCTCTGCTGGAAAATTTCCAGGGACGAGTAACAAATGACACAAGGAGTGACATTAGCCCAGGAGCTGTCACTTTGTGTAACATTGGTATATATGATGTTACTTCATTGTGTACATATGCGTAGTTTTGATACTGCAATGAAATTGCATGCAGATATTAAAAATTTCTATAGATATGACACAAACATATGGTTAATGTAAAATACTTAGTTTTCTAGTGAGTAGGTAGCTATGAAATTTCCTTTGTAAGATTGATTTAGGTGTTCTTTTTCATTAGTAAAATTTTGGTTGTAATCTTTGGGAAAGCAAGTACGAATAGTTACAAGATACGGCACAGGAAATGCTGGTTGCAATATTCCCTTTCATGGTGCATTGACCCTTCACACAACATATAGAAAGAAATACTATTGTTCTCTTTTACTGCAGACTATTAAGAGCGAAGCCTCCGCCTGCACACTGCAAGAACTACAAGTCAAACAGTATCTGAAAAAGAATACAGCCACCTTCTGGCCACACAATTGGAGGAGCAAGTTGTGCACCTGTAAAGAATGCTTGGTATGGATATGTATTTATACTTACTTCTGTCATCCTCGCATTTGCTCTAGAACAGCGTTTCTCAACCTGGGGGCTAGGACCTCTTGGGGACGGGGCGTGAGGGAGGTGTCAAAGGAGTCGCCAAAGACCATCAGAAATTATAGTATTTTCTATTGATCATGGGGGTTCAATGATGGGAAGTTTGGCCCAATTCTATCATTGGTGGGGTTCAGAATGTTTTTTGATTGCAAGTGAACTATAAAACCAAGCAACTACAATTCCCAAATGTCAAGGTCAATTTTCCCCAAACTCCACCAGTGTTTACATTTGGGCATATTGAGTATTTGAATCCACTGTGCTCTCTGGATGTAGGTGAACTACAACTCCAAAACTCAAGGTCAATGCCCTTCCAGTATTTTCTGTTGGTCATGGGAGTTCAATGTGTGAATTTGGGTTCAATTCCATCGTTGGTGTTGCTTATGTGTTAGTCACAAAAACCACAAAGAAGAAAAGCAGGTTGCTTATGTATATCTGTACAGAAGTGATTATAATAATATGATTATAACTGTATTTGTGTTTGCATTGGTTGCCCTAAGGCTGGAGCGGCCTAGCTGTGAGGAGTGTGTTACCATGGAAACGATGCTGCAGAGGAGTGGGAGGAGCTTAGAGAAGAGTTTTTTTGAAAAGCGACAGTTAAGAGTCAGTCAGGTTTTAAGCTCAGAGGAGTGAAGAAGCAGGGTTTAGGCTTAGAGGAGTGAACAGTTATGTAGAGAGAAAGTGGGAAGTAGAGAAACAGTGTTCGTGAATAGTTAGATTTCTTCAGTTAGGAAAGCTGAAGGGGAAAACCTTATTAGTTCTTTAGTTAGAAAGAACTAACAGAGGCTTGTTTAGATCACTAGTTAAAAGAACTAGAGATCTGGTGTTTGATCACAGGAAGGATCAAGTAGGGAGACTATTCACCACAGAAAACATTGTTTAATAAAGTGCTTCACCACAGCAAGAGTTTTATAAGTTGTAACATCGGGAGTCTGAACTGTATCGCAACCAAGTTACATGTAACGTTCTCCAAGTATTTGCCAAGCTTAACATCAAACTGCAACCATACGCTTTGTTTCAAAATAAACTTGTTCTCTTTGGTTTTTAAAACTGCCTCATCTCCATTAATTCTACGTTCGGTGTACCCAATCATACAAAATTACCTCACAACACAAATAGGGTGGCATCCAGTGGTATTAATACCAGAGCCTTTTACAAATCGGTGGCTCCTCTCTCCTAAACCTAAGCACTTCCTCGCTATTTGGTGGCGGCTTTTTACAAATTGGTGGATAGTAGCTTTACAATATCTATGGTTCTTCCAATGTCATTTGTGAATCCACACATTCCACTCACCTGCCCTGTGTTACTGTACTGCTTATTTTGTTTATTTAGTTTGTGGGATTCAAGTCAATTCTGTCAAAGGTGATGCAGGCCAGTTTGTACAGTGAAAATAAACTTTTAAAACTTGTGTGCTAGTTGTGCCCATGTCTTGGGAAGTCAGACTTGGCCGCGGTGGTCCATGCGCTAGTTACATCTCATATAGACTACTGCAACACGCTCTACATGGGGTTGCTTTTGAAGACTGTTCAAAAGCTTCAACTAGTCCAACATGTGGCAGCCAAATTGATAATGGGAGTGGCGTATAGGGAGTACACAACCCCCCTTTTGTGCCAGCTCCACTGGCTGCCAGTTTGCTACAAGGCACAATTCAAAGTGCTGGCTTTAGTCTATAAAATCCTGAACAGCGCAGGCCCAACTTAACTGTCCGAACTCATCTCCCTCTATGAACCATCACGGAGGTTAAGATCTTCTAGGGAGGCCCTGTTCTCGATCCCACCACCTTCACAGGCGCGACTGATGGGGACGAGAGACAGTGCCTTCTCAGTGGCGGTCCCTCAACTGTGGAACTCCCTCCTTAGTGGGATTTGATCAGCCCCTTCCCTCCTGTCATTTTGCAAACAAGTGAAAACTTGGCTTTGGGAGCAAGCCTTTGACCCAGCATAATTATCAGTGCAATATAGTTGGCATAGACCTTGGATTGATAAATATGATTATTTCATTATCTGGCTTTGGAGCTATTCACAACAGTAGTCTGTTTACATATATTGTTTAATGTTGTTTTAAATTGGGCATGGAATAATGCCAGTTATATAAGCCACCCTGAGTCCCCTTCGGGGTGAGAAGGGCGGGATATAAATATCGTAAATAAATAAATAAATAAATAAATAAATTTTCTTTTTCAGAAAATGTATTCTGATCTGGAGGTCCCATTCCTAATGGATGAGTGTGATACAGTTTTGGCGTATGAAAATAAAGGAACAAATGACCAGGAAGCAGACAGAAGAGATCCACTAATGGACACACTTAGCAGCATGAATAGGGTCCAGCAAGTCGAGCTCATCTGCGGTATGTATCTGAAATTTGGAGTTGAGTTTAAATCAAAATATTTCTTACATTTTGATTAAAGTAATTTATAGGAATATACTTCTAGCATGTCTCCTAATAGCTTTATTGCCTAGGCTGTATTAGCCTTTTTCTGTCTTGTTTCCTAAAATCTATTGACCTGCAGGGTGATATTGTAGTAGAATCTGTTTTGGGCTTTTGATAAAGGAATGAAAATGAAAAATTCTGCAACTTGTTTGTGTTACTCTTATGTTCATAGTTTATTCTGCCAGTCATTGAGAATGACAGAAAGCTTATAGTTACCCAAAATAAAGCTGAAGGTGAAGATTTCCCCTGACATTAAGTTTAGTCGTGTCTGACTGGTGGGCATTGCTTATCTCCATTTCTAAGCCGAAGAGCCAGTGTTGTCTGTAGACACCTCCAAGGTCATATGGCCAGCATGACTGCATTGAGCACCATTTTCTTCCTGCCAAAGCGGTACCTATTGATCTACTCACATTTGCATGTTTTCGATCTGCTAGGTTGACAGGAGCTGGGGCTAACAGCGGGAGCTCACCCTGCTCCCCAGATTCAAACCGCCAACCTTTCGGTCAGCAAGTTCAACAGCTCAGCGGTTTAACCCATTGCTCCACCAGGGGGCCCATATTTACCCAAAATATTGATTGCTAAAAAAGTGGTCTGTTTTTTTCTGTGTGCTCTGTATACATGTTTAAGCCAATTGCTGTTCAAAATATTATATTTATTTGGTTATATTGTATGTAGTTAAGCTTTCTTATATCTTTTGTTATAAATAGCTTTGAGTTTTTACAAAATTAAGATTAGATTTCCAAGCTAAGAAAAGTTTTAAATGAAGATGCAATAATAACTGTATATGGACTATTGTAAATTCTTCTTGTAATCTTTTTGTTAAAGAATGATATTGTGCATTGCACAATATCAGATCTTTTTGGAGGCCAGAAAAACAGGAGAACACTTGAGTGAGACTTGATTCAGTTAGCAGTATTTACTTTCATTACAGCAGAAACATATTTTTGTTTGTGGTGGAAAATTTTAATGAATCTGTAGAGCAGAGATTCAAGCTTTCTGGACCAGTGAGTAAATTATTTAATAAGAGTGCCATAGATGCTTTTGCAAAATAATTTATCATGAAAGCTTGTTCATTTGGAAACTGGCTGTCACAAGGAAAGAGAAAACTCTCAAAGCCATACTTACGAGGCTAAAAGAAAAACGACAGGCCTAATAATAGAACGCCAGGCAGAGATACAATCTGAACTGCCAAACACAAAATCATTCTTTCAAACTCATTTCTTTTCTTCAAAAGGACCTGTTTCATGTGCGACTAAAATGTAACTTTTTCCTATCCAGAATACAACGATCTGAAAACAGAATTGAAAGACTACTTGAAAAGATTTGCAGATGAAGGAACAGTAAGTATATAACTTCTTGTTTGAATAATGATTGTCAAGATATTATGGGATAATAATTTAAAAAATTCAGTAAGTGGCCCAAGATAGTCGTGAATGTGTCTTAATTAAATTAAGAAGGAAATATAATTGGAAACAAAACTAACGACTTCACCACATTAAGCTGAGATGTGTTTGAAAGAGGGGAAGGTAGGAGAGTTGTGTCTGACTCCATTGAGTTAAAAAAAACAGGTGTTTTCCCTACCTGTTACCACATTGATTTACTTTTCCAGTGCACTCAGCTTTTTTGGAGACATTAGGCCCCGCCCATCATCCCTCAGTGTTTTTTTAATTAAAGAAACCTCAGTGTGTCCCTTTGGGAGGCTGCCGAAAAGAGGAGGGAGGGAGGGAGGGAGGGAGGGAGAGGGATTAGGGATTTCAGTGTCATTTCTGGCATGGGGGAAGGGGGACAAACTCTGCAACTTAGCTGTATGCGTTCTGGGAACAAAGGTGCTTATACACTGTATAATACTTTCATAATCCTATACAAAAAAATTACTTGGGGATACTTGCATCATTGCATAATGGCAGTCAGGCTTTGAAGCTGCAAGGCTATTCAATACTAATCAAGCTCACCAATTGCATTATTCCCACTTGCCTCTGATAAGTGGGGGTCCCATCTACACTGCCATATAATCTGGTTTCTGAATCCCAAAGATCTGGATACTTGCATCATTGCAAAATGGCATTCAGGCTTTGAAGCTGCAAGGCTATTCAATGCTAATCGAGGTCAACAATTGCATTATTCCCACTTGCCTCTAATAAGTGGGGCCCCCATCTACACTGCTATATATTCCGGTTTCTGAATCCCAAAGATCTGGATACTTGCATCACTGCAAAATGGCAGTTAGGCTTCGAAGCTGCAAGGCTATTCAGTGCTAATCAAGGTTACCAATTGCTACATTCTCACTTCCCACAGAGGATGCCTGTCACTGATGTGGGTGAAACCTCAGGGGTCAATGCTTCTGGAACATGGGCAGACAGCCCTGAAAGGTGCTAGAGTTTAACTAAACTTAGTGGGGTTTATTTAAAGTGGGCTTTTTTTTTAAAAAAAGGAATTGTTTTGGCCTAGGAAATGGCGGCAACAGAACTCTTCCTAACCGGGGTGGGTGTTTTAGCTCCTCCCACAACTTCCCCTCCCACATTTTCAACTGGGAGCAACAAATGCTACTTCATTAGAAATCTGGCAAAAAAGGAGAATTGAGAAAAATCAATTTCCTCACCTCTTCCTGATGCATTGAAAAAGACTGCCCTCTGCGTTTAAAAGACTGAAAATCTACACTTTAACTCAAACTAATGTAGTAATCCCAGTGGATGCCCAGATTTTAAGTGTCAAATTCAGTGGAATTTAACTAATGTGGTGAAGTCCTAAGAGTCTTGTAGCACCTTGCAGAGTACCTCATGCACTTTCCCTTTTGACTTAAGTAATTTGTCAGGATGTAGGCATACTTGTACTGCAGGACTATTGTTTATCATTAAACTAGCACATAGTCTACAAAAACATATGCCTAATAGGTGCGTCTGGCAGGGACAAGAGGCAGGGCCTTTTCAGTGGTGGTCCCTCAGCTGTGGAATGCCCCCCCTAGGGATATTTTACGAAATGTCTCATGACATTTCATAGAAAAGTCAAAACCTGGCACTTTGAGCAAGCTTTCACAAATGTAGCATAACAGGTAAATATAGAACTACGGAACGACTTGATGATGCAACTGGAAAACGAGTTTAGTAAGGAGACGCTGATGATTTATGTTTTTACTAGCCATCCCCTACTACGTGTTGCTGTGACCCAGTCTGTGTATATATGTTTTGTGTGTGTATATATTTGTGTATATGTGTGTTTGCGCATATATATATATGGTTTTGCGCACAAGTTGTAATTTTTGATTTTTGTTTTTTAAAGTCTCTTCTGCTGTGTTTTTCAGTGTTTTTATGAATGATGGTCACTCGTTGACCTGATAGGTATACTGTGTCTAAATTTGGTGTCAATTCAACCAGTGAGTTTAGAGTTATGTTAATCCTACAAACGAACATTACATTTTTATTTCTATAGATGGGTTTTATATGTTTTTTATATAATATGCTAAATTTTCAACTGTATTTTTATGTCAGCCGGGTTATCAAATTGGTGCCGACTGCAAACTGCTTTTAGTTGCCTTCGGGCTGAGAAAGGCGGAATACAAATACCATAAATAAATAAATAAATAATAGATTGGCTATTCAAGGCACCTTTTTCTTATGTTTTATATTTGTATCCATCTCATTCTCTTTTTCTGACTTGACTTTCACAGGTTGTTAAGAGAGAGGACATTCAGCAGTTCTTTGAAGAGTTTCAGTCTCGGAAGAGGAGAAGGACGGACCGGATGCAATACTACTGTAGCTAGACAACTTGGGAGATTTTATGGACAAGTTTTTTTTGCTATCTCTGCTAGCTTTTCGTTTTCCCTCCAGGACTTACCCAGCCTCTTGTTCATCTCGGCTTCTGTTCCTCTCTAAATATGATCCAGTTCCATAGCAGCTGGTCTAAAAAGCAACAAGATCATATTATTGAAATGTGTTTAATCATTTGTTGGGGGAGAGTGGGGTAAGGTGGTTAGGTATTAAGGGCATATACTTAGAAAGGAATCCGGGAAACCTCCTAAACTTGCATAGATAAAACAATATCCTCCATATGGATAAAAGGAAAATGTAGGCACACATGTTTTTACTTTGTCAATTTCTGATACGAAACCATATTGTGGGCTATTGCTATTGGCTATGAATAACAATGCTTACAGAATCGGAATATAAATCTTTGAACCTTTTTCTGAATTAAAACTTCTAAAAAGACATAATCCTTTGAGACATGAACGAAAATTTCAGCTTCCTGGGTAGAAAAAATCCCCCTTTGTGTAGAGTTTTTTTTAAGGGCTATACAGCCAGTGTTTTGATTTCCTCTCTGCATAGAATGTAAATAACTTGCTTTCTGCTGGGTGGTACTACTAGGTTATAACTTTGGGGGGGGGGGCAGGGGGCGGCACAAAGAAGTTCTGGAAGCTTGTATAATTGTTTTAGGTTGTAAGTGTTTAAGAGGGAATAGCCATCAAGCTACTTACCAAACTGTAAAGTACAGAGTGGTGACCTTTGATAATAAAGTCAAGACAACAATACTGTTGAAATCAGCTGTCCCAAGGCAGATGTGTTTTCACATTGTTTTAACTTTTATCGTCTTCCTAACTACTCAGGCAAATAATTCTTCAGTGTGTATATGACCCTTAGTACTCCAAAGTTTCGTCTTCTGACACTATTTGACTTTTACATTTCAATAAAGTGGTTGGTTGTCATTACTACTGCTGTTGAGTATTGGAGTGGTGGGGGCAGCTTCAGATGTAACGTCAGTTGTGCAACACAAATTTCAGGATGTGGAGTTACATGTCAAATGTAAATACAGATAAAGGTTTCCCATGACATTAAGTCTAGTCGAGTCTGACTCTGGGCGGTGGTGCTCATCTCCGTTTCTAAGCCAAAGACGCCTCCAAGGTCATGTGGCCAGCATGACTGCATGCAGTACTGTTACCTTCCCATAGAAGCAGTACCTCTTGATCTCACATTTGCATGTTTTTGAACTGATAGGTTGGCGGAAGCTGGGGCTAACAGTGGGAGCTCACCCCACTCCCCGGATTTGAACCGCTGACCTTTTGGTCAGTGAGTTCAGCAGCTCAGCGGTTTAACCTGCCATGCCACCGGGGGTTCCTTGTCAAATGTACTTGTGTCTGATGGCAAACCTACCCATTTGTAAGATTGTACTTAGAAGATTCTGGCAAAAATCTCTTCTATTTTTGCTCAGATCATGAATAAGCTGGGCTTGTTCAGAGCTATCTCTAGCCTCCTCATTTTCATCACGTGGTATTATGCTTCCACCTTTTACTAGTTCCTGAGGCTTGACTACTAAAAGATTGTAAAAATCCTATGAATTCTGGTTTGATAGCCCATAGCGAGACTCAGAAATTAGGTAGATGTGGTTCTTAAAAGACCTTTACACTAGGAATGCTTCTGTAACATGGAGTATCCAGGGGCAGCTTCCCTGTCAGTTAGCAATTCAGGAAAATAAAGTTTGAGGAAAGGAGAGAAAAACCCACTGGAGAGAAGGTTTAGGAAGACATATCTTTCAAAACACTCCAAAACAAGCCTGTGTTTCTCTGAGCTATTGGCTGCCTGCCCATAGCAAATTTCCAGGAAAAAAAATACTTTCCAAAAAAGTAGTAGTTTTAGTCAGTGGGGACAAATGGTTCTGGCTTCAGGCACATTGAGAAAAAAGCCCATCTGATCTATATCAGATTATGAGACTGCTTTAGATTAAGTGGACTCCTTTGGAGTGATGCTTCACAATTCAAGTATTTAAAAGTTAATTGTACATTTGGCACAGATGTTAACAGCTAGTGCACTTGTGTCATTTTGACATGGCTTTAGCTGATGTGAGGATGGCAGCATTCAAGGGGTGTCTACATCACAGAGAAGCCTCAGTAGGAAAATGTTGAATTCCCTTCAATTGCTACTTGCATTTAATCATGATGCTTTTAATGTGTCTGCTTTGTTTACAGTACAAGTTGAGTATATGTTAATTGCAGTCCCAATTGGTAATTTGGTAATTTGCATTGTGATAAATTTCTGCTGCCACTTATCTATGCAAAATGAAAAAAACTTCTATATTCAATAAGGAATCAATGAAAACACAGACATAGCTCAGTCACAATAATGTGCAAGGACAATAAAGTGGACAATTGCATTGCTGATACAGTATGACAGTTTGTTTCGGAGCAAATGAAGCGAACTTACATTCCAGGAAGAACTATAGACAATTAGGGGAACGAGTATATAGAAGCATTCCAGATTTGCTCTAGCAGAGGGACAATTTGTTTTTTGGTTTATCATTTTAATATCTTTCTGACTTCAATAGCACATGCCAGGAGTTAGATACTTGGCTACTCCTTTTGTGTATAGGGGTTTAGATTATACTATTGTCATACTTAGGTACATGTAATTATTTTTCACATGGTAATCCCAAAGACAATGTGGCCAGTAGAGTTGTGGTTCAATTAACTTTTACTACACACTTGTTCATGTGAACACTACAATAACATGAAATCAGTTTTAAACCTACGATCACACAAACTTCCCTCCAGGTTTATAATACAGGGTGAGGCAGCATAACTTCCTTTTTTAAAAATGCGCACCACTCAGTTGGTTGAAGACGTAGCGGACGCTAGTGGTCTCGTTCGAGAGGCGGGAGTATAAAGATTTGTCCTGACACAGTTCAGTCGCCATCATGCGTTGGAACAGTGAGGAGCGTGCTTTTGCCGTTGAGGCCTACTTTCCGAGCAGATTTGGAGTGGCTGGCCCGCTCTCCAGATTTGGCCCCTTGTGATTTTTTTCTACGGGTTTTTTTTTTTTTTGAAATCCTGTGTTTATGTGAACCGTCCAAGGACCCTACAAGATTTGAAGACCAACATCCAGGAAGAAATTCCCAACATAACGCCTGTTATGCTGGCAAGAGTCATGACAAACGCCAGAAATCGGTTTACTCAGTGTATGGAGAATAGGGGACGTCACCTACCTAATTTGATCTTCAAAACTACGTAAAACAAAACTTTAGGTATGCGCCTACATTATATATAAAAAGCTTCTGATTCATACAATGGGTTTTATTAAGTTTTGAAAAAGGAAAGTTATGCTGCCTCACCCTGTATTAAGGATTGCAGGTTTCTGGTCTTTTTCCTCCTCCATCATTTTAACCCTAACAAAGATAGTGCCCATCATGAATTTTGTATTTTATTAACTAATAGATGAGTACTTCTAAAAAGTAGCACATAAAAATGAGGATGTGAATGAATTTTGCCATTATGAAGTTATGATGATCTATTTTAGCTGAGAAAAAGCAATTTAGCTTCATACAGATAATTATCTGTATAACACTGCTGTTGTGCCTTGTGAACAAATGAAAGAAATTTGACACACACATTTTTCTAGACAAGCCATTTATTTGAAATACCAACTATATGTAGGATAAAGTTAGTGTTAACATGCTTCTCAGCAACAGTAGAAAAATAGAACCAGTGAAAACCTTTTTACAACTGTAATGGTACTCAAAAGAGAAATGTATTGTTTTACAATGCATCACACAAGACTAGAATTCAATTCTAGAGGTACCTAAATAAAAATACTATATTTTCTTAAAAAACCAATATGTACAATTGAAGCGTAAACAAGTTTTACAAAGTACTGGTTATGCAGGTTGTAGAAAAAACACTTGCATAGGACATGAAGTTGGTTTAAGAATTATTTCTGAGCCTTTAGCATTGAAGGCACTTGACTTTATACCAGTAACAGCACAAGGACGACATTAACATCATGGACACGTAACACCTTCCAGAAACACATACAAGTATAGAAATACCAAATGTTTTCTTTTTTTTTTACCTGCCGCTTCTCCCAACATTCCACATACAACCCTCCACCATATAAACAGTCAGTCGTTGGGAGTAAAATGAATAATAGTGCTATCTGCAGCCCATTTCAAAATAAATTACGTGATAGATGAAAAATTGTGATATTTCCAAACAAGGGCCAGGTTTCATTCTCTCTTGTTAAAGGCTGAAAAAACCCTACTAATGACAGAGATTAAAATAAGAAAACGTATAGACAGTTAGAGGCAGTTATTGCAACCTCACAGGACAGTATGGATAACTCAAGAAACAACTCACAGTATTCGTTTAAAAGATCCGTTTGTAAACAATGGCTAGGATCCAAAGTGCAATGTCTGCACAGTGGTGTTTCAACCTTCCTCTCAGGTCAAAAGTTATCCCAAATCCTGAAAAGCTCTCCCCTCTACCCTTTACTCCTTTTGTGGTAAAAAATAAAACCTATATGCATGGAAACATACTGTGTGCATACAGTCCTCTGGATCCCAACCAAAGAAGAACACATACCTTTCTCTCTGCAGGATGCATCTCACCAACCAGTTCTGGACAAGAATCTACTGGTGGCAGCTAAAGTAGCCGAGATTCTCATTTTCAGGTTTCATCCTATACCAACTGTTCAGTAAGCAATTGTTTCTCTTTCAAAGCCATGGCTGTATGGTTACTGTACTTGGAATTTTCAATAATTTATTCAAAAGTGCTTCATGCAATCAAATGATGACTATTTCTTAAAAGCTGCAGAGACGGTACTGTGCTTTGAAGACACTAAGCACGACACAGATATTGATTACAACACTGAACAGTTGGGACTTGTTGCTTAACAAGGCCTGCTTTTTTTTGGAGGACAAAAGGACTGAGTAATTGAAGCTCTGAGTAAACCATCTGTCCAGCAGAATGTAAAAATAATTTCAATTATGGCACAAATCACGTTTGATCAATTTGTTCTCAGGCCAAATTAACCCCTTGACAAAATATCTGCATTCCTCTGACTCATGGACACGTAAGCTGCGTTTTAACGGGCCACCCGTGCATATGCCGTTTACAAACACATACAAATATCAACACAGAAAAGATGCCTTCTCTTAAGGAAGCACAAGAGGGATACAGGAGGGCATCTTGTACAGATCGTCAATAAAAGGGCTACCCAGAGGTTCTGCAAAGGTACCACTGATTTACCTGACATATGGCTGCTAGGAAAAAGGATCAAGGTGTAAGAAGGGAAAGAATGTATAGGGATATGTGTGAAAACAGATTTGATAAAACATAAAGTCGAAATTAATGCTACTTCCATTCTCTCCAGCAATTTTTGCAAACAATTTAATGTTAAGTGCCCCAGTTGTCTTTAACCCCCCTAAAAATCTTTTACCAAGATTTGTTCTCATTTAGAAAACTCCACTGTTCTAGGATGATGGCCTACTTAAATTGCAATTGTATACCAGGAAGGAAAAATACATGCCAATACTTTTGAGCAAGCTATTCCATAGAAACAACCACAAATTAAAACCTAATGGGTTACTTTAGCCATCTCTATATCCCAGTTTCACTCAACCTGGTGCTTTCAAGAACAATTTCACCATCCCAAACGGCACAGCTGGGCACAATGAGAAGTTTACTATGACAATCTGGGAGGGGGCCAAGTTGGAGAAGAGAATGTTACGCTTCACTATCAATTTTTGGAAGCATACTAGCTCTATTTTGAGAGAGGATAACAGTAAAACATCTAACATGGCAATTATAGATTTTTCAGTGGATTCTTGTTTGGGGATACTAAGTTTATGGAAAATATCACATCAGCAACGGTCCTATTCTAAACTCTCTAAGGAAAAAGCCATTAGCAAGGAATTATACTAACTTCCATACCATGGCTTAATCCAACAGTGTGCTCTTGTGCTGATGGAAGTGGGATTCTCATCTTCCCATTCCGGTTGCAGCAGTCAAAAACCTGACCCAGAGAATTTGCCAGCCTCCTGATACAGGTTTTTCAAGCAGATGGGGAATTGCAAAAGGAAGCAGATATCACTTATTTTTCTGGGAACAAACAAGTTCTAATATAAATACAAGACTGGATTATGGTCCATGAGATAAATAAAAAAAATCACTGGACAAGATGGCATAGCTGGTTCCCACATTTACTGGTGGCCAAAAGATATTCTGGTCCCATTGTTCCTGGAAGCCATATATTAAAGAGCAGATTTAAAAGACTCTGAAGTGGATTTGATGAAGCACTAATTTGTTGGACAGATATAAGTGGTACCCTGTGTTCCCTGCCAGCAAGTCAATAAAAATGAGACATTTGACAATTGGTACTGTTTAACCCTCTACAGGAATCATATCACTAATTTCAACTATCCACAGAACATATTTTAAAAGGCATAGGATGAAAGGCTTTGCACTTCATGAGAAGTGTAGCAAATTCAATGTGGTGTAAAACTTGTGATATCATCTTTCCTCTCACATAGATATATGTGAACACCCGCAGCTCCAGAACTTGTTTTAACAGTGTTTTCCCCCTGAAGGTTATAGGTGACAAGAACAAAAGTTGGTGCTTAAAAGCAAGAAAGAACAAAACTGTGACTAAAGATTGAAACAAATTTTACATGTCAACAGTGTCAAGTATCTAAAAACGGAGTCAGATATGTTAGATAATATCCTGACTGAGGTGTTCAGGTGATGGAAGAGCTATATTTTAGATCTGACCACCATATCAAGTTAGGCCTTTGATACAAGTGACCACACAGTGGTACTCAAACCTTTCCAGCACTTGCCACAAAAATATGTGATAATGCAAATGCTGATTGCTGAAGTGGCCATACGTTAGTGGCAACAGGCACGGCTAAACATGCCTTAATTATCAGCCCTGCGTCCCTACATTTGTGTTCCTAACCTCGCCTTTCAATCTTCACTGACAAAAAGAAAACCCCAAATACACTCAAGAGGTTGGGATAATGAAACTAAGTGCTATATCACTTACAGCTATGGAAGCTATAGCTGTTACGCTTCAATCTGAGATTTCCATTCACAGAGCTAGAGCTCTTATAGTGTCAGGCGCTCAGCAGTATCACCAAGACTTGAAGCCCTTGGTCTCATAGTTAGAGGCAGAAGAAAGAAGGCAGTAAAGCATTCCCCTCAGAGCTTTTTGGAGAGGGAGAGTTTTCTGCAAGGTATTAACACCCATCTCAGATGTTAAGAGGCAGCGTTAGCAGAAGCATCCCTCTCTCCCTCCTGCACTTGGTATGAAACCTCATCATTCCTTCATGTTTTTTTTAAAAAGGAAAGCTTGATGAGAGTGTTTACAATACCAGTCACTGATAGATGGGTATGAACAAGTGGGATGAAGGAGGAAAGTGCTTCTCAGAGGATCCAAAGGGGAAGGACTCCAGAGCCTCAAGGGAGCAGTTCTCCTCTCTCCCAAAGAAAATCCCAGCCCTAAATGTTACTGAGTATTTGCTACATCAACAAGAAGACTAGCTGTCATGGACTTGGTAAACAGAAGATATATAAGCTAGGTTGGATTCTTGCACTAGTGGTAGACCAGGAAGGTTTCAGACCTAACCACAGCAGTTACTGAGATGTGCTGTTCTTTGGAATTCCTATAGTCATTCAAAAATAAAGACAGACATTGTCACCATCTTATGTAAGAAAATACATCTTGTGTGTGCCATCCAATGCACACAGGAAAACAGGAGGTGAAATATTTCTTTTCCTTAAAAAAAGCCACAAAGAAGAGTATGAACATACAGTCCTTTAAAATATGACAGTAAAAGTTTAAACATACGAATCCCAAAACTAAAGTTGAATGTACAGATGCAAAAGGCTACCTTGTATTTATTATTATTATTATTTGTAAAGGTGCCAGTTAAAATATCTTTTCAAAAAGAGGCTTAACAAAATCTGTTCAGAACACAAACCCTGAAGCAGCATTCCAAATAAACTGGTAGCATGCCATCTCTAACGAAGCCATGTATATACAAAAATGTAAAGAAAAGAATGGAGCGGCTGGCATTTAAATGATTTTGGCCAACAAATGTCAGGCCAAAGATTGCAAAAATGGATATTTCACAACTCTATAGGCACGGAGAAGAAGTGGAGGTGGTTTTCAGAGGGCAGATTTCTTATACAGGAAGTCAGGTTTGCTTGGAGACCTCCTGCCTCTGCTCGCTGCCTCTTCTCTTTCCAGATCTGCGTTTCTCTGTGCTTCATGCTCCAGGGGCTGAATGTCTGCCAATCGCCGGCTCAATTGCTCTTCATGAATCTCTGAACTGTATGCTGGCAGAGGAGGCCGGCCAGAGGTGAGCCCATAGGTTAGGTCACTTTCTATTTTTGTTCGCCCTCTTGCATGAACGGGGATGTTCCCCGTGTTCTCCTGGGCAGCCAATGCCAAGTCCAACCGCTGGGGAGGTTGCTCTAAGACATCAAGGTGTATTGGTTCATTCTTTTGTCTGTGTGGATGCCCTTCTTGAGAAAGTGCATACTCTCTCCGAGATTCCTCTACCTTTTTTGGAGAGATGTGGTTAGATAAGTGGGTTGCCTTCAAGCCGTTGGGTGATACTTTGTTGTGGCTATACAAATCCGGGCCGTAATAGATGCCTTGAGAAGGTGATTGAGTGTGCCTGCTAAGGGCAGGAGTGGAAGGTCTGCATGCAGCACTGGAGAAATCATAGAAGTCAGGATACTCCTGCTGATTCTCTCTGGTATCCAGCTTTTGCTCAACTGAATGTTTTTTCCGGGAACTGTGTATGTGCCTTGTCTGCACGCAGGAAATGTGTTGGGGTGCTCCCGACCCAACCTCTAGAACAGGCTGGCTCAGTTCGGTGTCAACAGTAAGCTCTGGCAGCCTCCGGTCCTTGAGAGACATTGTCGACACACCCATGGCAATATCTGGAACCAGCTCATTGAGCACAGGCGGGGTACTCTGGAAAAGAAAAAAGAACCCAGATCTATTTCATGTTTTTTCATGTTCTGAGCCAGAGGCGCCAGGTCTCCCCTCCCCAAAGGTTCACACTTAGTACAGATTATAAATAAATGGACTGTCTTCCTACCTTTGTCCCAATGTAGGAATCAAGGTAGCCAAGATTAGAACAAAAATACAGTTTAAACAATATTTGGAAAAACCATTAAATAGATTTAAGTGCCCTTATTCTTTTCATCTACACCAGGGGTCCCCAAACTAAGGCCCCCAGGCCGGATGCAGCCTGCCAAAGTCATTTAACTGCCCCCCACCTTAAACTGTAAACTGAGTGTTGCCCAAAGTCTGAAACAACTTGAAGGCACACAACAGCAACAATCCTAATTAGCTCGACTATCTCATCAGCCAAAAGCAGGCCCTTACTTCCCACTGAAATACTGGTATGTTTATGTTGGTTAAATTTTGCTTCATTTTAAATATTGTATTGTTTTTTTCATACTTTTTTGCACTACAAATAAGGTATGTCCAGTGTGCATAGGAATTGGTTCATGTTTCTTTCAAAGTCTATTCTGGCCCCTCCAATAGTCTGAGGGACCATGAATTGGCCCCTTGCTTAAAGTTTGAGGACTTCTGATCTATCCCAATTGGCTTGTCTCAGAGAAGGGACACACTAAGTTTAACAACTACTCTGAATTCAACAGCAGTTGAATGCTGAGGAAAGGTAAATGGCTAAAATTCCACTAGTAGTACAATACTAGTATGGTTGAGTATCCCTTATCTAGCCACCTAAAATGCTCCAAAATTCAACATTTTCCACAAGGGTTGAAGATAGTGATGCCTGCTGTGCTTTCTGATCGCTTTATGCACAACATTATTAAACATATTGTATATGAAATTATCTTCAGGATATGTGTATAAAGTTTATATGAAACATAAGTAAATTTAATGTTTAGACTAAGGTATATCACTATGTATATGCAAATGATTAAAAAAATAAAATCCAAACATTTCTTGTCATAAGCATTTTAGATAAGGGATGTTTAACTGGTCCTTATTTCAGAGTGAATTACAGAAATCAGCATCCCAAACCAATATTTCAGATTTGGACTACTCAATAGTTTAAAATAAAACCAACAAGCCTGAAGACAGTGGGCAAAATTACAACTGTTATTCCCAACTAGACCAGTCATGACAATCAATAGATTTTACATAAGTGCTGACAAGTCTCCTTGATTTATTGGGTCTGCTCTAGTTGGGAATTAGTAAGCAGACACACATTTGTCTGTTAATTTAACATACTTTGCATCTGAATGGGGCCATTAGACAGAAAAAGGGACATAAATGTATGACAAGGTGCTTAATAGAAACCACATGATTCCCACTTGCCCCAAATACTCCAGAACTCAAAAGGTTTAGACTAGCTCAAGTGAAACAAGATGTAAGCCTACAGATTTGTGGAAGAACCCAATATTTTCCATTCATGCAAAACCTCAGAATATCGGTGTTTTGTAAATGAAAGCCATCAGTTACAGGGCTTCCAGTAAAAGAAGACTCCCTAAACATGTAATAGCAGACCATTTCCTTTCTCAAATGAGTTAATAGCAGCTGGGTTTCTATCTAGTTACCCACAGTCACGAAGACACTGTTTATGTGTCTTTGTTCAACAAAATACTTTTCCTGTTAGTCAGACAAGCAAACAATATGGATTGAGAAGTAGAAAATGAACAGTGCTTTCCAAAGAATAATTAGAAGAGGAGGGAATTTTATAAATAATGGAAGGGAACTGAATTTGAGGTTTCTTTCCTGTTGTGGAAAAGGAATTGCTAACCGGCATAGTTTCAGTGTTCAAGTTTACATCAGGATATTTACATCAGGACATTCACCCAAATGTTACCAAATTTATCTGGTGAATATTTCAGCAGCCAAACCCATCTTAATTTGTTCCAGGTCAAGCTTTATTTCTGTCTGAAACATGTTTTACATAACTGGGGCCAAGTCAGTATTTTCCCCTGCTTGAAAAGTTACAGCAAAAAAACCTCTCATCTGCACATAAACAATTACATCTTTGTCTTGAAAGATTAAGATACGAATTTTCTCTTAAGCACTCTGCCATGAATTATTAACAGAAACCAATGTAAAAGCAAGTTTATAAGACAAAGCTCCGAATGCCCTCCTAATTGCAGTTTTAAGAGCTTGGGGAACAGAGTTAGAAGAACAATAACAAAACCAAACATATACTAAATCCATTCTCCCTATTCTACCATATGTTCCTTTCCTTGGTATATTTAACTCTGAAGGGATTTGAAGGAGAAGGAAAAGAACTCATTTTGCTGGTATGCTGGTGACTATTTCCTTTCCATTTAACCCGAGGGCAGATTTGCACTTGTACTTACTATGCAAATATTTGCTTTACTCTAAGGCCATGGTACTTCCTGACAAGTGCCTGAGTTAAACCCATTCAAGAACTAAGGTAATTCACAATGGAACAGAAAGGAAGATTTGCTAATTTTTTCCCCAATTGACAAGGAAAGAGGGAAACTACATATTCCTCATATGTAAAAAGGGTTGGCCCTACAAATAGGAAGAGTGTGGCAGGCATCACAGGCAGCAGTTTTTGGGTGTCAGGAAAGGGTGGCAAATCACTGCTGATCTAATTTGTTGTTATTAGATGTTCACTGTCAGTGATGGGGAGAAGTGCTAACAAGATTGTCTCTGCTAATATAACTCAGCTGGCTTTGAGTACCCAGCATATGAGGCAATTGTTTGCGGCTCTACTTTATGCTGTAATATGTCTTGGAACTGGCACACAGCCACCACGAAACAACCCAGAGCTAGATGGTTTGGTGTGTCCTTAGTTGCCTTGTTATGAGACTGAAGATCTGATATGGCTGAATTTGAAATAACTTTTATAAGTGCTAAATCTTGTTCCTTTCTCCCAGACCCCATCAACTCGCTCTTGGTGTCCAAAGAGTATGTAAGAGGTATATTAGCCAGACTTACCACTTGCTTTTCAGCAGCCATCACAGCTGCTGCTGCCGCAACTGTTTGCCTTCCCATTCCCGCTGTGTTAGTGCAATCAGGAGGTGTGGCTTTGACACTCGATAAATAGATGGGTGGGGGAGCTTTCGGGGCTGTCCTGGTGTGAAACAAGGAATGGTTACAAGGGTAAGAGAAGGAGCGGGAAGGGTGCTGGCTTTGTCCCCTTGGCTTCCATCCGACTTTAAACTGGTTGTGGATTGGAGTTGCTGGTGGATGATAAGGAGGTGGAGGAGGAGGTAAAGGGGGATGGAAGGCCACAAAAGAATCTAGCTCTGTAAACATGGTTTCTGCAGTGGGTGTACTGTTCACTCGACATCGTCCAGACTGTCTCAGGGTCAGAAGTGGGCTTTCATCCCCAAAGTGCTCATCTGGAAAGAACTTGTGAGGATTCTGCAACAGAAAAGTAACATACAGAAGAAATGAGAAGCCCCATCTACACTTTTCAGTAAGGTCTGGATCTTTGCAGGTGGGGAAGGAGGGTGGAAACTTCCCGCGAAATCACCATTTTTGATCCCAGGGGGAGATGCCAGGGGTTGTTCATACAGCCACTCAAACAGTCCACAGAAGAGGGATGGCGGGGATATTCTTTCCTCCCTTGTCTCTTTTTTCCCCTTTAAAAGTTTAAAAATATGTGCCTTGCTGAGCCTAGAGGTTTCTACTTACACTATACTGCCTGAAAATGATGCAAGGGAGCTTCTGAGAGGGGGAAAAGGTAAAGATTTCCCCTGATATTAAGTCTAGTTGTGTCTGACTTTGAGTGGTGCTCAAATCCATTTCTAAGCCGTTGTTTGTAAATGCCTCCAAGGTCATGTGGCTGGCATGACTGCATGGAGCGCTGTTGCCTTCTTGAGGAAGCGGTACCTATTGATCTACTCACATTTGCATGCTTTCGAACTGCTAGGCTGGTAGAAGCTGGGCCTAACCCGCTTCCTGGATTCGAACCACCGACCTTTCGGTCAGCAAGTTCAGCAGCTTAGCAGTTTAACCCATTGCGCCACCAGGAGGTCAGCTTCATTTGTTCTTTAAAGGCATCAAAAAGCAAGGAAATGCCTCCAGGTTTGGTAGAGTACCACTTTTTACACTTTCAAAGGCAAAAAAGAGGGAACAAGAGAGGACAGGGAGCTGCCCCCCCCCCCCCGGTGCTGATTGTAAATCAGTACAGGTGGGAATGTGGCTACTTTCTTGCCAAAAAGGTGAGGTTGGCTGACTGTTTGGGCAGCAAATGTGTAGGGAACCAGAGATTGATTTTCTGCAGTGCAGAAGGGCCCAGAGAATTTCTTTTTACCTTTCTCCCAGCACACAGTTCAAGATTTGTAACAATTTAGAACTATCAATATAAAAGTTAAACACAATTACTTATATTACCAGACTTCTATTTTTAAAACAAGTTAAAAGCCATTTAAAAATACCTTTAAACACAAATAGATACACATACTTCACATAAACCACTGCTGCCTGAGTATTATCTAGAATTTTACAACCTGTGTTTATGAACTTTGTTTAATTTGAAAGAGTAGTTAACACTTCTACTAATACTGCTGAATTCCTAGCATTAACAATACATGGAGAAGGCAGTTTTACAGTACAGTAATTTTGCAAGCCAAAATATGTAAAATGTCAGTTAAAATAATTTGAAATCATGTCAAAGTGCTTGCAAGAATAAAAAACAGATTTTATTCTTGTGTTTCTGCTCCACTTTAAAACAAACCTTTCTATAAAAATCTTTATCTCAATGACTACCACTGGGTGTCTCTCTCTTTGGAATGAAGAAAAATACTTCACAAGTCTTACTTGGATTTTTGATATTTTTAAGTGATGTTTTCCTTGTATAGAACGTAAAAATATTGTAAATTAATATTTCTACTTTTTTCATCCAGAAGCACACTTTTAGTTGTTGTTTGGCAGGACTAAGAAGACAAACTGGAACAACACTGTAGAGCAGGGGTCCTCAAACTTTTTGAACAGGGGGCCAGTTCACTGTCCCTCAGACTGTTGGAGGGCCGGACTATAGTTTACACGGGAATATTGTGAAACATTTGTTTTATATATTGTGAAACATTTATTTCTAATTACAAATAAATGAAAATTTGATTTCAAGCATGTCGTAGCATGGGTAACAGGTTTACTATAACAGCAGGAACCCATGAATATGTTTACTGATCAGCCTATTGGCCAAACTTTTTGGCCAATAGTTTGTGGCAGCCACACAGTTTCTGGATGAGAACTACTACTTTCAAAGTAAGGGCCGCACAATTAAACAGAAAATAACACTTTCAAACCAGGAACAGATTTCTGTTCTACAATTTAATATTACGTTTATTTATACACCACTTTTTGTCTCCACAAGGAGACTGTGGGCCCTTCCAGACGCCCTATATCCCAGGATCTGATCCCAGGTTTTCTGCTTTAAACTGGATTATATGAGTCTGCACTGCCAGATAATCTGGGATAAACAGAAAACCTAGGATCAGATCCTGGGATATAGGGCCTGTCTGAAAGGGCCCTTCTAAACAGATATATAACCCAGAATATCAAGGCAGATAATCCACAATATCTGCTTTGAACTGCATTATCAGAGTCCATGTAAGCCAGTTAAGTGTGGATTTTATACAGCTGTGTGGAAGGGGCCAAAACAGCTTACATTTCATTACAATTTTAAATCTACAAATATATGAAACATTTCAATAGAATTAAACATTATTACTATTCTTTAAAGCAGGCATGGGCCAGCTTGGGCCCTCGTGTTTTGGATTTCAACTCCCACAATTCCTAACAGCCAGTAGTGGGAGCTGAAATCCAAAACACAAGGAGGGCCCAAGCTGGCCCATGCCTGCTTTAAACATTCAATGGAAAGCTATCAAAACACATTCAAAGCTGAATAGGGAAAAGAGACCCTGACATTTGGGAATTGCAGTTCTGAGGATTTATAGTTCACCAGCCATCAAAGAGCATTCTGAGCTCCTCCAAAATGGATCTGAACCAAACTTGGCATACAGAACTCCCACGACCAACAGAACATAATGGAGGGGGGGGGGGGAAGAGACATTATTATTATTATTATTATTATTATTATTATTATTATTATTATTATTATTAAACTCAGTTGGAAGGGACCCCCAAAGGTCATTTAGTCCAGCCCCTTCTTTCTGCCAGGCAGGAAGATAGCATTAGTATATTATTATTATTTATTATTATTATTAGACTCATACAATTGGAAGGGACCCCCAAAGGTCATCTAGTCCAGCCCCTTCCTTCTGCCAGGCAGGAAGATAGAATTACTGCAGGAGCAATAACAACAACAACAACAACAACAACAACAATAGTCTCCTGAAGTAAACTGAAGGGCATTGGACTTGAGTTTTGGAGTTGTGGTTTACCTACATCCAGAGAGCACTGTGAACTCAAACAATGATGGGTCTTTGCCAAATTTGGCACAAAAACCTGATATGCTGCAAATGGAATACTGGCCTTGGTGTGGCCCCTTGGCCCTGCTGCTGCTCCGGGTGGCTGCGGAGGGCGAGGATGAGGAGGCGGAGCTTAATCTGAATGGAGGGAGGGAGCGGCCAAGTGCCGAAGGAAAGAAGGAAGAAATGGAAAAGCCAGGAAAGGGGAAGGAAGGGAAGGGATCAAGGCAGAAAGAAGGAAGGATGGAAGGAAAGAAGGGTATAAGGAAGGAAGGAAAGGGGAAAGAAAGGCAAAAGGAGGGAAGGAAGGATGGAAGGCAGGCAGGCAGGCAGGCAGGCAAGCAGATCGGGGCCTTCCTGCCCCCAGCCCCCAGATGCTCCATCTCCGTCTCCCGTCCGGGGGCAACAGGAGCAGCAAGAGGAGAGTGGCTGGCTAGGAGCGTGGAGAAAAGAGACAGACGTGCCTCCCGCTGCCTGCCAACCTTGCAGCCCCAGCCATGGTGCACCACGCCTCATACACCCTGGAGCTCTACAGGCGGAGATGGAGCATCCGGGGGCTGGAAGGGGGGCAGGAAGGCCCTGATCTGCTTGCCTGCCTTCTCGCTCCCTCCATTCAGACCCAGCACTCACAGCGCCCGCGCCTCCGCCTCCCTCTTCCTTCCCAGCCCCCGAGTGGGAGAGGAGCAGCAGCCAGGCTGCTATTGGTTCAGCCGCCCCTGCCAGGGGCCGGATAAATGCCCCCGGCGGGCCGGATCCGGCCCCCGGGCCGTACTTTGGGGACCCCTGCTGTAAAGCCATAAACTAGGATTCTTAAAATGCCATGGGGCTTGGATCAAAAAGCTTTAAAATTATTATCATTGGTAATATATCTTTATTACCAGTATTTATTATTTCTTCAGCTGTACATTTTTGGGTAATTCACTTGAGACATCCAGCACCGATCTTCTCTCCTAAAGGAGCACTGGAACAAACCTTCTGCATCTTTCATACAGAATATCCTCTGTTTTTTGTTTTTTTTTACATTAGGATGAAAGTTGCCATGATGAGAAGAAGCTGATTACATGTTGGTTCCCATAAGGAATTCATTACCACATGGGTACATAGTTACAGGTTCCATTAAAAAAAAAGGTCAGCCAAGTTAAGATGTCATACCTGCAAGAGTTCAGCAGCAGAGTCCAAAAGTCCAAATTCTCTCAAGACACGGATCTGAATCTCATAACTGACAGTGGCCCCTTCTCCACAATTCAGAGCATATGCTCTTTGCACCTGCTCAGTGTGACGAAGTTCCTGCAGTCTTTTTACCATCTCCTTAACAACAGACAGACAAGGAACTGAAGGGGGAAAACAAAACAATCCAAATCAAAATCTTATTCTACATTGTTGGAATGTGCTTTCCGATGACACTGAATTAATATTTTTAAAGAACGTTAGCTATGGATGCGACAGCTCTGTGCAAAAGAACATGTGAAGAAGTGCAATCATTCCAATGAACTTGAATGAGGGAGTGTTGCAAAGGCTTTCAAGGACAGAATGACTGCCAGTGGTTCGGGCAATCATGAACCACTGGTCCTTGGGAAACGGAAAAAGTGCTAACACAGAAACTCAATTCTCAAAGTGTCTGCATTTATTAACATGCCAAAGCAGATACAGAATTTTGTTTAGTTTGGCTTGGGTTTTGCTTCTAGAATTTAAACCCCCCCTTTCCCCCAACTTGGGGAAAAAGTTGAAATTTGCTGTCAACATATGGTCTCACACACAATCTACAGTGTTTCAAAATGATGAAGCCAATGTCAAAGCGGTACATTTCACAATGGCAACATGTTACAATTACACAAAAAAGTTACAAACTGTTTAAAAAGTGATCAAGTTTGACTAACTGTTTTGAGTTAGAAACAAATCTACCCTCCACCCGCTCCCAAATAGAGAATATCTCATTAGGTTTTATGCTGCAGGCTCTTGTGAATGACTGAGGTCAGGAGCTGTTTATGCAGGAATCATTCAAAATTCTTTGCCTCACCCTTTTGAGCAGTAAGAGTTTCATTCATGGCTAGTTCATGGTTGCAGAATACAGCGATTTCAAATAGGGTCCATCTTTTTGAAACAGCATGTAGTTGCTTCATGAATCTAATGAATACCAAACTCTGCCCTTTGACAAAATCACTAGTCTTTAGTTCTAGACTCTTGCATATCATTGTCCAAAGTCATTAAACCTAACTTGTCCTATCTTTTCTCTCTCTTATTTCTTCCAAGAGGTAACCCCCCCCCCACACACACACACATCAATAAGCTCCCTGCAAATAAAAGCTTGAGTTTTTGAGTCTCTATCTCTTCTGTGCCACTTGCAATGTCTTGCTGAGTGTAGGAAAATTATCTTCAGTAGCTCAATAGGCTTTTAGAAGTACAAATCCTTTGATACATGTACAAACTACTTCTACAAAGCCCCGAAACAAAGAAAGTGTACATTATGCCAGCGGTAAAGCCTTTTGTTATTATACTGCTTTCTATTAAAACTGTTCGTGCTTTGGTGCTGCAAAACTGTCCTTTCCAATCCTCATGCAGTCATTTTATGACTTGATGTATGATATTTTTAAATGTCAGTGCTCTATTTCCACTGGGATATTTCTAGAGAACTCAACACTGGTTCTCTTGGCTCAGATCTCATTGTTTTGGTTGAAGACTGAAATCACAAGACCACTACAGTACCAATAACTACTTTAGAAAGTCACACATTAATCCAAAAACATACAATGTAACTATAGGACTCTAAAATATGGAGTGAGAAAACGGAATTATAGATTACCCAGACCTACCCAAGAGAAAACTCTTGAGATGCCCCCGACACCCTGTCTCTACTACCCTGCTGCTTGTAACTGCCAGGTTGGCACAGGGACTGTGGCACAGCTGGATGGGAGTCAGCTGCATTAAGATCACTACTGACCGAAGGGTCATGAGTTCAAGCCTGCCCGAGTCGGAGTGAGCTTCCGACCAATTTGTATAGCTTGTTGTCGATCTTTGCAGCCCGAAAGACAGTTGCATCTGTCAAGTAGGAAATTAAGGTACCACTTATGGGGGGGGGGGGGCTAATTTAACTAATTTACAAGGCCATAAAAATCTCCAGCAAGTATGCAAAGAATGAGGAAGTACTTCATCAATGTCACAAATGGACAGTGAAGTGACAGCTCCCCTGGTGGCCAGAATACTCTCATGAAAAAGCTAGATTGTTAAATAGCCTCTGAGTGTCTGTCTATATATGTTGCGTGTCTATGGCATTGAATGTTTGCCATGTATAAGTACATTGTAATTCGCCCTGAGTCCCCTGCGGGGTGAGAAGGGTGGAATATAAATACTGTAAATAAATAAATAAAGAAATAACAATTGGTAAAACAGCGGCCATCCAGGACTTGATGCATGCCAGAATGACCTGGCATGCATCATGGATACCTGGTTGGACGAGAGCAGAGGAGTAAGCCTCTCCCAGCTCTGTCCTCCAGGCTTCATGGCTCAGCAGCAGGCAAGGCTAGGGGGTCGGGGAGGGGAGTAGCGGTGGTCTATCGAAGTAACATCCCCCTGACCTGGATACCCTTGCCCCACTCAAAGGATTATGAAGTGGGAAACCAGAACAGATTAGGGGTTTTGTTGGTGTACCAGCCGCCTTGTTGCCCAACAACCTCCCTAACAGAGCTGACGAGGTTGATTTAGGGCCTAGTCATGGACTTGCCCAGACTTTTGGGGCTGGGAGATACAGCTCAGGACTTCATGGCCTCAATGACAACCATAGGGCTGTCCAAAGCGATAGCTGGCCCCAGTCATAAGGCTGGCCCCACTTTGCTGTTTATCATGGAGAGCAAAGGGAGACAGAATTTGATGGTGGAGTAACTTCAGTAGTCTCGTCATGGCCAGATCTCTTCTTGGGGCCCTTCCACACAGCCATATAACCCAGAATATCAAGGCAGAATAACCCAAAATATCTGCTTTGAACTGGAATATCTTGAGTCCACACTGCCATATATCCCAGTTCAAAGCAGATAATGTGGTATTTTATTCAGCTGTGTGAAATGGGCCTTGGTCAGCTTTAGACTCACCAGAAACCCTTTCCTCCACAGAGCTGGTGGACCTATTAAGATGGTCCACCCCAGGAAGCTTATGGATCCAGATGGATTCCTGATGTCTCTTGGGGACTTCTCAGCTACCAGGGTAGGTGATTCTATTGATGCTGATTGATTTCTGGAATACGGAGGTGGCCAAGGGTATCAATACGATTGCTCCGAAACGTTTCCTTCCCAGATGTGGAGCTAAATGGGTCCCTTGGTTTTCCAAGGAGCTACTAGCAATGAAGTAGATTTACATGGTAATGTGATCCTGCTGGTCCTCTTGAACCTCTCAGCGGCTTTAGATGCCATTGACCATGGTATCCTTCTGGGGTGAATTGTGGGGATGGGACTGGGAGGCACTGTAGTTCCCATCTTTCCTTGCGGGCCACCTCCAGAAGGTGGTGTTGGGGGGTCCTGCTCAGACTCATGGCCTGTGGACTGTGGGGTCCTGCAGAGCTCATCCTTATCCCTGATGTTATTTAACATCTACATAAACCCACTCGGAGAGATCATCTGCAGTTTTGGAGTTCAGTATTATCTGTACGCAGGTGATGCTCAACACTATTACTCCTTTCCATCGGATGCCAAGGAGGCTACCCTGCATCTGAACCAATGCCACCGCCGGTAATGAACTGGATGAGGGTAAACAAATTGAAGCTTAATCCAGATAAGACCGAGGTACTGCTGGTCTTGCATAAGAACGATCCAGGAATAGGGTTACAATTTGAGCTGGATGGGGTTACACTACCCCTGAAATCCTAGCTTCGCAGTTTGGGAGTAATTCTGGATTTTGCCTTAAATCTGGAAGCCCAGGTGGCGGCAGTCATCACGACTGCCTTTGCACAACTAAAACTTGTGCGCCAGCTGCGCCTGTTCCTAGAGAAATCTGACTTGACCAGTGGTACATGCACTGATTACATTCCATTTGGACTACTGTAATGCACTCTATGTGGGACTGCCCTTGAAAATTTCGGAAACTCTAGTTTGTCCAGAGAACAGTAGCCAGTTACTTACCAGAGTTTATTCCAGGGAACACACCACTCCCTATTGAAACAGTTCAAATGGCTCCCAATTTGTTTATGGGCCCAATTCAAGGTGCTGGTTTTAACCTATAAAGCCCTACATGACTTTGTTCTGTGTCCCCCTGTACAGGTCTGGTAGACCTTGAAGGTCTAGTCAGGAGACCCTTATTTCAACACAATCCCTGGCAAACATGCACTTTAAAATCACTAAAGAAGGTACATTCTTGGTGGGGGCTTCTACATTGTGGAACTCACTACCAGAAGAAATTAGATCAGCTCCCACCCTCATGACATTTAGGGAAGGCGTGAAGACTTTCCTATTCGAAGCAGCTTTTAACTGAAACCAGGAACTTTTGGATGCAGAAGAATGGGGAATTTTAGACCAATTTTAACTTTTAATGTTTAATAATATGGAAGTTTTTAAGGATTACTGAATCTCTAATACTTGTTTATTTATGGTTTTTAATTATTTGTATTATGTTATAAATATGATGTGAGTCACTTTGGGTCCATCCTGGAGAAAGGTGGCATAGAATAAAATAAAATAAAATAAAATAAAATAAAAAAAATATTAACATACTTTTGTGAAAATTCCACTCTCTTATCAAATTCAGATTTTTTCCCCAGAGGAAATCAAATCAAATGGGGGGATATTGTAACACATCCACTGCAAGACACTTCAAGAATATTTCACTAGAGTTTAGAAATGCGCTTACTTGGAAGGCCCATTCCAGATGGAGTCTATCCATCTGGAATGGGCCTTCCAGGCGTCTCAAGGAAAGGGTGCAATTGGAGCAGAAGTTTTAAATGTGCAAAGACACTCCTGACCACTGCCAAAACCTGGGCTTCCAGACTCTAACCTGAGTCTAAGAATATCCCCAAACTGTCATCAGAAGGAGTGTAACCCCATCTAGCACAGGCTGAATCCCTATTCCCTGATTTGCCTTCTGACTGGCAGGAGTACCTCTGACTTGTCTGGATTAAATTTCAATTTGTTTGCCATCATCCAGTCCATTACTGATGACAAACACTGGTTTAGGACCAAGAAAGCTTCCTTGGCTTTGGGTGAAAAGTGCTGGGTGTCATCTGCATATAGATGGTACTGCACTCCAAAATTCCAGATGAACTCTCCCAGCGGTTTCACAGCATGGGGGACAAACCGAGTCCTGAGGGACCTCACAGGTCAATGACCAGAAGTTCAAACAGGAGTTCTCCAGCACAACCTTTTGGGTACATCCCTCCAGGAAGAAACAAAGCCACTGTAAAGCAGTTTGCCTCTTTTCTTTAGAATGGGCTTTCTTTTTACTAGGTGGAAAGGCACTACTGAGCTAAGCAAGCCTGGAAATCATTGTCACACTGACATTGGATACTGACCAAAAGGGAGGGAGGGCACTTAAGGCCTTGCTGGACATTAATGAAATGACACATTAGTCAGATTATTCTGTGCATTTATATTATATCAGCTTATGAATAAGGCCCCTCTGTCTTTTTCTGGCTTAACTGTATAGCTTGAAGATTGTTCATTACTGACAACAGAACACATCTTATTTTTTATTTTGCTGACATTGTTTTAAATGATTTTACATTTTAAGATGCAAACTCCACCTGCTCATATTAACAATATCTGTAACACTTCCAGTGGGAAAAACTCTCTTCTTAAATTTCTTCTAGTCTCCTTTAACCTCATACATTTTGTATGTGAGAGATTAAAATAATTTGCAACCCATTTCAACTCCTGTATTAGATGCCACAATCTCTACCATTAGTCATGTTTGTTTACTTTATTCTGCAAATATATTATTCAGATATAGATACCATTTGAAACCAAAGAATAGACCTTTAATCAGCCCTTAATAAATCTTTATAAAGGAAAGAAAATTCAAGGTATGCCAGGAGAATGAATTATTTACATTTCAAATCCACCTGTGTGACTATGTGGAATTAATTTTTGTTATTCTTTTTTTAAAAAAAAAAATTAGAACTAGACTTCCTGTTTTGAAAGATATACACGTAAATATTGTTTTTTTCTGTTTTATAGGTTAGACATGACCATTTCAATTCAATTTTAAAACTTTCATAGCCAGTTTATTGAAGTTGTTTCTTCCTTTGAAAAAATTAGTATTAGAATCTTGACATATAAGCATTAAGGTTCTACATAATGCACTGGACATTATCTTCTCTACAACATAATAAAACAAGACACTCTAAGAACCCAATTTTTTAAACAACATTTAATATTGTTGAGAATGAGTTTATAACAGATCAGGCTGCAGACATACCTGGGATTTCATTGGCTACAACAGAAGGAGGACTGGATTGGCTACTACTTATTTGCTGGTGACTTATCATATGACAGCACTGTGGAACGGCATTGTTTACCATGTAGAGGGTATCAGGTACATTGGACATTCTAACCATCCGTAAACGAACTAGGTCAGTCTGTTCCACCATCATCTCGTCCAGAACCGACTAAAACACAGATTGAAACAAGGAAGTTTACCAAAAATTACCCTCATTTTCTATCAGCATAAGCCAATTTATGGCATGTCATCAGTATGAAATGATAGATACTATCTTTGTTTTTGGTTATTAACCAAACCAAGAGATATCCTGATTATACAAGATGAGAACAGCTAGAAAAAAACGACTAGCTTACATTTGCTCAGGAATATATTTGCTCTTCCAACAAGAAACAGCATGTTCATTTCAGTTAGCAGCAGACAGCCTCTACCCTTCTGAATCACTGATCCTTATCCCTGCTAAAATTTTAATCTGATCAGTACATACATTCTAACTGCCTGAAGCCTACTAACCCTTCACTAGTACTGTAATACTCATCACCATAATCAAATGGGGCAGTGCTGATGCACCACAATTCATGCCTCAATCTCACCAAAACAAACTGTCTGAAAAGTTAATTGCATAACAGAATGCAAAAGTTCATTTTGGACTCAAACACATCTGCTGTACAGCTATGCAATAGCAGGGGGTTGGACTAGATGGTCCTTGAGATTTTTCTAATACTATGTTTTCATGATTTTATGATATTTGGCTGCTTCTCTGCGTGAGGAACTAGGGGTGTGGATTTGTTTACACATAAAACCCCATACAGCACTTTCATGAGCTATTTTGGTGCGCTAACTTCATTATCTGTATACAAGCTGTGAGGAACATGCTGTGTATCCAAAACTACTGCTGCTTCCAGGTAAGCTTTCTGATCATCCAGAGCTTCCTCCATATAAATGGAAGGCAAATCTAAACATGCTCATGGGTGGCAAGGGGAGGGAGAGATGAATAATAGTGGTAATGGAAGGGGGAAAGCGACTAAGTCCTTTCAATACATTTCAGGGTAGGACTAATAGATATGGAAAAAAAGAGCTGAAATTCTGTTCAAATGTAAGTATCAACACAGATATAACAACAAAAGGCCTCTGTTTGGCCAGATACCCATTTTCAATTAGCAGTCTTCAATAAATCTATGCCCAAGGGAAGCCCTGAAAAGCTCAGAGGTATTTTATTTTTGTCTGTAGGTCAGATGGAGGTTTTGAAGTCACAATAAATTGTAAATACATGTACTCTTTTTTATACAAATACCATTCTGAATGTGTCATACCAAGTCAGATTAGACATAAGACTATACATTGTCAGATTAGTTCTGAATTATCAAACTCATTACCTTTGCCTCCTCCACGTAAGGGGAAAATAGTCTCGGTCTCACATAAATTCCTGCATTCTTCTGTCGCAACCAGGCATTTGACTTTCCACCTTCCGCAGTTGGCAACATGTCTGAAGGAGGGGTACTAATGAGACCTCTCTTCATCTTTAAAAAAAACGGGGAAAATCTGTATTAACTTGGGCACAAAAAAATTCTGTTGAGCAATGCAATTCAGGGTATATTATGGAGGGGAACAGCAAACCCCCACCCCCAAACAATTTTGCCAGGGACCAGTAGCATATTTGTATCCATTGATTATATCTGTTTCTTTCCTTAATGAAAATGCAACAGGGACCAGCAGTAGTCCATAAACGAGCACTCTGAACAAAACTGCTGTTGAAGATTCATAGTAACAACTCATAATAGATTCAAAAATAGAAGAAGGTATTTGTCAATGTAATATAATGTCCTCATGCATGAGTGAGTTATTTCTGATCTATGGGCCAAATGCTGACTGGCATAATCTCTCAAACTTCCCTATGCTTCAACAATCTAGTTCTTCGTGCTTTGTGTCCACAGCCCTTAAAGAAACTGAACAGGTTTACTAAACAGGTGCCAAATACAGGGCCAAAAGTCATCTTACAGCAGGAGTAAGCAAAATGTGGCCCCGAGGGCACATGCAGGCCTATATAGCTGTTTTCAAATCCTCATATTCTTTTTCTGGCCAAGAATAAAGGCTGAAACACTGCTTCTGGAAGTCTCTAGAAGCAGCAATGTACTTTCTTAATAGGTAACAGGCTTCTGGCGGAGTTTAACACAAAAATTCAAAAGAAAAAAGAAAACAATTTCAAGAAGGAAAAACAACAAGCTAATAATAACCAGAAATCCATCTTCTGGTTATTTCTGATTTACTTATTTTTTGCTTTTTTGGGTTTATTTGGGGGGGGGGGGGCGCATTTTGGTCAATTCATGTTGCCCCAGAAAGTTCCTGGGCAAAAAACTGGCCCCCAGACCCACCATATTGCTCACACAGGATTCAGAACTATACTTACAGAATCTGTTAGTACTTCACTGTTCATTGGCAAAATATGCTCAATGCGGACAAATGGTAACAGTGAAGAAAGGATCTCTTTTAATTCCTCAATGTCAAGATCTCTCCGCTTCACACCTCGTTTGTTCACACTGTGAGCTGTGCCACTCAGCAAATTAGGCTCTGCAGGGGGAAAAGGCAGACAGTCTCACTTCAGTATTTTAAGATTTCTGTTACTGAAAGGAAAAAATAGTGGGGTTTTTTTTGTTGCAAAACTGGTTTCTTTGACCAGCATTCTCTTTCTCTATTTTTCTTCTTATTTATTATTTACTTGGCATCCATGCAACAAAGATTCTCTGGGTGACTTTCAATAAAAAGAATAATGAATAAATGTAAACATAAAACCACAAAATCGAATATATTATGAACCAGCAGTTGAAGATAAACTTTCAGAAAGACATCAAAATATTCTAAATTTCAAAACTCTAGAGATGATCAAAAGATGTTTAAAAATCACTTAAAGGCCTTTAAACTGAAAAGACCGGAAAAATAAGACCATGTTTAAAAACAAACATACATACACGTGGAAAGACATCTATAGACAAAGTATTTTCTATGTCTAATATTATTTCTGAAATTGCAAGGAAAGGATGTCACCTAGACTGTCATCAGAACTTTAGTTTACATGTCATCCCACTATCTTCCGAGATACCAGATTATTTTAGGGGAAGAGAATACTACTGAATACAAAGAAAATGAAAGGGGTTTTGACAGTTCATGTTCTTGGCCTTAAATAACCCAAAACTGCAGTCTGCACGGCACTGGTTATGCATCTGAGTTAGTTTTAACTATCAAGTGGCCTTGCAAACATGATTCTCAACAATGGCCTGAGTATCCAGCATTCTAATTCTAATTAAGTGAATTGATCAGCTGGGCATGATTTGACTGGAACAAAAAGTTCCAACCTCACATATACTATGATGGAGACTAGTCAGCTAATAATGATGAACAGAAAAGAGTCCCTGGGACTGTGGTGAAGTGTGCACCAGTTTAAAAAAAAAAAGAAATGTCATGATGGGGGTCTTTAGAAAAAAAAATGAAAATAACCCAAACCAGTATTATAACACTTCTATATATGTTGCAACCAGTTAAAAATTCAGTGTTTAGTTCTGATCTCTGCATCTCAAAAACAATGAAAATAGTTGTAAAATACAATGAGCATTTTGATAAGCCTAAGACATACCGTATTTACTCAAGAATAATGCACCATCGAATGTAATGCGTAACTCAATTCTGAATCTGCATATTACAAGACAATAGATCTGCTGTCAAACGTAATGCGAAGGCACAGCACGTCCAATAGGCAGAGAGCACGAGTGAGGCCAGTTGGAGATCCCCACCCACTCATTAGGCTGAGGCTCTCCGGCCTCACACAGTTTTCAGGGGGCTGAGCCTCGAAGGGGGAGTGAGAGACCCCAAGAGGCAGGATGCATGGCCAAACTCTGACCCACAGGGAGGCAGCAATGACAACATTTCCTGCTCCTTTGGTCAGAGAAACCTGAGATCTGGCAGCCCCATCACTGCTACGCGACAGAAAAAACTGAGTTGCCCTCCTTTTCTGGGGGCCAGGGAGCCCTGAAGATGCCAGAAATAGCCTCTTCGCCCCCCGCTTCCCAGCCCAGCCTCTGAGTCCCTCCAGGCCTTTTTACGCAGGATTTACGTGCACAATTCTAACGAGCCACAGGATCTAATGAACACCTCAATTTTGGCAATGTAATTTAGCCAAAAAAGGTGTGCATTAGACTCAAGTAAATATGGTACTCCAGTAGAAATCTCAATTCATCTAAGACAGTGGTTCTCAACCTTCCTAATGCTGTGACCCCTTAAGACAGTTCCTCATGATGTGGTGACCCGCAACCAAAAATTATTTTCATTGTTACTTCATAACTGTAATTTTGCTACTGTTAATGAATTGTAATGTAAATATCTGATATGCAGGATGTATTTTCATTCACTGGACCAAATTTGGCACAAATACCTGATACGCCCAAATTTCAATACTGGTGGGATTGGGGGGGGGGGGGATTGATGTTGTCATTTGGGAGTTGTGGTTCCTGGGATGTATAGTTCACCTACAACCTAAGAGCATTTCGAACCCCACCAATGAAAGAATTGGGCCAAACTTCTAACACAGAACCCCCATGACCAATAGAAAACTGTGTTTTCTGATGGTCTTTGGAGACTCCTCTGACATCCCCTTGCGAGCCCCCCCGGGATCTCTACCGCCAGGTTGAGAAACACTGATCTAAGAGAAGCAGACACCCACAATGCTCCTCTTTCAGTCATCTTACCCAAAACAGAACTTTTCCAGATTCTGATAACTACGAAAGGTCTGTGTGAACATATGAATATGCAGGAAATTACATGGTAGCGATCACAGGAGCATGATGAATCATGGCACCAGGGGATAAACCACTAGGTGTTATCTGCTAAAATAACGGAAGGAAGATATACTGAAAGAATACTGAATGCAACACACGCCATTTCATTTCAGTTTAGAGTAGCAAACTAAGGTATCATAGCTCAATGGGAGAGCTTAGTAGGCGGAGTGCAAGAAAATAGGGATAGAAAGATGTTTCCTCTTTTCCCCCTCATAATAGTAAACGGTGGGGGGTTCTCTACTGAAGCTGACTGATGGGCGATTCAGGGCAGATAAATGGATGAACTTAGGAATTCTTCACATAGGGCATTCAAACTTGCAGCATAACGCATAACACCATCAACTTGAATAGTTGATCAAACTGGTCACTTTATGAAAATATGGGCTAGATACGCCTATGGTCTGAACTGGTCTGAACTAGTATGGCTCTTCTGATGGCTTCCTCCAAGCTTTGTGAGTTTACATAAAGGCACCAGTTTCTTTGTTAATATTAAACTAGATATGACAGTTGAGAAGTATTTACCTCGGTCTGCTATTCTTTTCATTAACTGATGTTCACCCCATTTAACAAGGTACTTTAGGACATCTTGCTCACTTGCCTGTCAAAGAAACATATAAGGCATAAACACATTCAATTTTGGGCTAATAACACACACAGCTTTTATATAAGTAAATTACAGCCAACAGACATTCAGTGTAAATAGATATATAATCCAATTACCATTCTTGCTCATAACATTTCAGGTTTTATGAATTCCTGAAAAACTAGTTAAACATCTAAATAAAGGAGTTGTTCATTGCTATCCTCCCACACTTTTTCAGCAAAACTAAGCAGTGCATCATTTTAAATTTTACTGAACAACACACTGAAATATTCAAGGGCCTAAGTTAGTCTCCTCCATCCTGGCACCTCCAGATGTGACAGAATGCAACTCCCATTTTCTCCAGCCTCTTTTGCCAAGTTAGGAATAGGAATGATGGGAACTGAAGACCAATCCATCTAGAAGGAACGAGGCTTAGGGTGCTGCTGGCGAATAAATAATTGTATAGCTCACTTATCTCATCTGTGGGAGCCCAAGCAGACTAGAGATTTCAGAGAGAGGCGGCCTCTTTTATTTCAAGCTGATGGAAATGAGAAGGATGGGCATAGAAGCTTTGGCAATTCAACTATTATTATTTATTTATTTAGAGAGAGCATGTAACTCCCTTGCTAAAAAATTTCACTGGCTATGAGTCTCTTTCCAGGAATAATGTAAAGTGCTGGTAATGGTGCATAAGCCTCATAAAGTTTATTCCAGACTATTCTGCTTTCAGGGGCAAACCAAGAATGGGCAACTTGGAAGTCCCTGAACAGACCCAGAAGTGGAGTGGGCAGATCAAAATACAACCTGGCAAAATGGCACTACCTAAAAGAATCCTCCACCTTGTGTGACTGTGAAGAACCTGTATGCTCACCCACAATGCCCTGCCTCATGTACAGAGGAGGATTTTTTAAAGCTACAGACAATGTGGTCGTTGTTGCCTGTTTTTGGTCAAAAAATATTTAGTTGCTTGTGTTCCTTCTATTTTATCAGTTTTATACTTATTTATGCAATGCTTTTGATACGAAATAAATAAAGCTTATTCCAGACTATCTGAAAGTCCCTATCTCCTCAGATGAGTCTGCCCAAGTAAAACCTTTGGGAAAGGGCTTTCTACTTTTTTTTACTGCCCTCACAGGCTCAACCAGTGAGGACAGGAGAAAGAGTCTTCTCAGTGGCTGCTCAGTTACTCCACTTTGCTTCTTATCCAAATGGACATTCAGCCTCTTGGTTGGTGAAAGACCCTCCCTCCCTCCCAATTGCTATGGCTTTGCCTCTGAGGGAGATAAGAGTTGCCATAACTTGCTGGACTCCCTTCCCTCCCCCACTGGCATTCCCTTCCCCTTGTTTGCCATGCCTTACTTGGATTGTAAGTCTGAAGACTTAAATGAATAATTAAGAAAGATTTGCAGATGTTTTCCTAATTTATATATAACTATTTTTTTTTTGTTGCTAGCAGTCCAATTCTGTCGCATCCAGTCTGGCAATCTTCCACCATGGATACCAGTTGTGGTAGATAATGTGTGGCATATGCCAAAGAAGGAGGAGGAATGGAAGCCTCCACTTGTTTCTTAGTTGCTTGAAAACTGAATTAAAATCCAAATCTAGAGTAAAGGTTTGTGTGTGTTGGACACCCTGACTGCAGAGGATTGAGAACACTTGTCTCAGTAAGCTGGTAAAAAGAGCTGTTAGTTCCCGAGAACAATGTTCTCAAGCTGCTTCTCAGTACTTTCCAGCATGCTGTATGTATAGTGAAACGCCTCTTCCAAGTACTCTACAAAGTCTTCTTCACTCATCTCATGTGGTGCTTTGAAGAAACACTGTAGCAGTCAGGTGGGTGAACAGCATACTCCCCTCTCAAACCTTGTGCCAGAGGACACCCAAAAGGAGAAGTGTTGGAGCTAACCATAAATAATGGCTGGCTACCAAAACTGGATAAGTCAAGAGGGTCCCTGGGCTTAGCTTAAAAGATGTTACTCTACTTCCTAATGAAGGTTTTATTACATAGTTGCTTAGGCAATCCCCCTCCCTTTCTTTTCTTTTCTTTCATTCATTCCAGGGGGGCTCTGAGTTGGTTTCATTTTCCATTTGAAGGACTGATGAGACTTTTCTCTGCTCTTTTAGCCTTTTTTCACTTTGGAAAATAAACAATTAAAGGAAGAAAAATTCAGAATATGTGCACAAAGCTTGTTTATTGCAACCACTACAAGTTCTCTAGTTGGAAGCATCTTTGATGGTTGAAAAAATAAGATGTAGTTTTAAATCTCCATAAATATCGAGATTCAAACAGTGACCAGGTATTTTAAGATGTATTAAATAAACAGAGTTCTTTCAAATGTGATGATCCACAGTATTGGAGTTTTCTCCATTGATTAAGCTGCAGAACAAATCCAGGTTGGGAAGCTGTTCTTAGGGGTTCAATTCAAAGAAACCCTGTATATCTCCCACTACGAAAGTAGGTTAAAAATAGAAATCAAGAAGAACTAAGTAGATTCCTCCTTTTCCTTTCCCAAAACATATGTTTTAGAGTGAGAACTAGTATATAATTTCCATAAACCTCTGAATAGGAAAGGTAAAATTAAACGTAGAGACTTTCAGTTAAAATAATTTGCAACTGCTTCTAGACTATTATTAGGCTTTCAAAAAATAGTTCATACTGCCAGTCTGGGTTCAGTTGTGTGCCAAGAAAGCAGAATACTTTCCTTAATCACTACCTCTCCTAAAGGCTTGTGTGTACATATGCCAGAACAAAGAGAGAAGGAGCCGACTCTGAACACAACCCTTTCAAACAGATTTTTTTTCTTTTTCTTTCCTTTTGCAGTTAAGATTTACAAGCATGGTAAACGTTCAGGATGCAATTTGAAAGAGAGATAGAGAAAGATGATTACCTGTAAGTAGTCCGACTGGATAGCTGTTTGCAGGTGGTCTTTGCTGAGTTCATAAAAGACATCAGAAGTCATGACCTGGGTAAATTCCTCACAGAGGAAATGCAGTGCTTGGCGGTGCACCCACTTAGAGCCATACGGCTGAGAACTCCACTTGAGAATAGCAATTAAAGTGTCTAATGAGATGCTCTCAGCAATAATATCCTCACAACCTACCAAAAAAACAAAAGACATAAACAGAATGTCAAACACTGTTCAGTGAGGTTCAGCTATTCAGAAATGAATGCTATCTATCACTGTGCAGCAAGAGCATTGCCATTTCAGAATTTCATGTATAAAACCACAATTTTAAGCAAGATTACAAAAACATGGGGCATTAATTGACATTAATTCCACTGAAGTTAACATTTGACATGAGAGAATGAACTGTGTAATGTTGCATTTTAATACCTTTTTTGGAAAAAAGAGGGTTGCGATCATTACGTGCAGAAAAAATACGTGCCTTAGATTTGTCAGTTACAGAAAGTGGTGAACGCTTGCTTTGTGTTCGCAAGGGGATCATGGCAGCAAGAGCACCAACTGGCTGTCTTCTGCCTTCTTTTCCCCTCACGACCCACCCACCCTGCCTCACTCCAGCCTCAGATACAGTGCCTCAACTCCTCCGAGAAGACCTTTCCCTCAGAGAAAAAAAAGTTGGATTGCACATCTCTTACTATAAGCAAATAATCCCAAAGCCTTTCCCTGCCTCACCTCTCCTCTTTCTCTTACTCCCCCCCCCCCCCCCCTCCATACAATGATTAGGCAATTAACAGATAGAATCCAATTTTGGACTCAGAACACAGGGTGTGATGAATATGTGGTATGACTCTTATGTGAGGAAATACTGTAGTTACATTTCAGTACTTAAGTTTAGTTATGCACCATTTCACAACATATTTAGAATTACCTGAACTACTAATTTATGCTTTTGTAGAACTAATGCATGATAAGAGTACCAGTAGACACAGTACTTATAACAAGTAATAAGATTTGGTCTCTATAGTTACAATTATCTTAAATGTCTAAATTTCCAGAGGCATCCATCCACTGGGGAAACAGCTCCAAGCACTGTGGATAGAAAGCTACTCACAGCACTGTTTCCATTAATGCAACAAGTGTAGGGTCCAGAGATGGAGCAGAGCAGAACAATGTTGGTTTTGGATTCACAGAATCCAAAATTGGTCTGCTCTCCGGCATAGGGTCTGATCCAGACTGCTTAGCTATGCCTGCTAGGAACAGACATAGTCATCAGCCCTTCCTCTATTATTTTCAATTAATGAACTATTAGGTAAGGTAAGACTTCTTCCTATGCATCTTGGTACACCTGTCATGTTATTCTTCCACCCACAACATCACTCACTCAGTAGTAAACCATTTCAAATATTGTTTTACAGCCTTGCTCAAGTTAACCTTCATCAAATCACATTTTAAGTCAATTGTACAATATTCAATACTACACTTAAACCATTTTAAGAAGCTTTTATTAAGCAGTTACCAATATTTTGTCAGACAGCTGTGAATCATACTTCACAGTTTAAAAAGACTATGACAATTATCTTTATGTTTCAGACAGCCCTAATGCTATTCACATAAAACAAGATGGCACAATTGCTTCAATGATATATTTGATAATTGGTAATAATATGCAGATCAAAGTAGATCAGTCTCTCTAAGTGATTTAGCTACTGTACCAACTGTGAAAAAGTGGAAAAGCTCATTAGTATCATATTGGTTCTCCCCCCCCCCCAAGAGATAATATTTTAATAAGACTACTACACTACTACAAATGAGTGAATAAATACTATGAGAAATATTTGAGGTTGGCATATAATGAATCAGGGAGAGAAGAAAGTCTATCCACTTAGCAACATCCCCAAACACTGTACATATAAAAAATGGACAGAGTCTGCCCTTCCAGATGTTCTATCAACATGGTAGACAACTATGATCAACTGGGAAGGGCTTTCTCTCTGTCACACCTCCCACTCAAGCATATTTGATGGGATCATGGGAAGAGGACCTTTCCGGTGGCTGCTCGCACACTGTGGAACTTCCTCCCAAGGGAGACCAGGGGTCCCCTTCCCATTCTAGACATCTGAAGTCAATACAACCAAACCTACAATACATTTTATAAACATGGTCAATGAGAGAATATTTTAATCAAACCCAATAGAGTACATTCATTTTCATTCTTCCTTCTCTGTTGCCATACTTTTACAAGCACTGCAGAAAACAAAAGCACACATATGCTTGTGAATGTATGGGCTTCAAAGACAAATTCAGCTCCTAACCATCTTCTTCACAGAAATTATATTCTAGAGCCACCACTGAACGCAGAAAGATGACAGACAACAGTAAGGTTTTTACAATAAAAAAATCAAGTGACAGCTTGTCAAGTGGAAGAAACACTGATTTCACAACTTGATCATTTCAGCATTAAACTGACAGACAACTGATCCAGTCACCTGTTTCTACCTTTCCAACTTCTGGTACAAACTGTCAGATTGAGCACACTTCATAATGCACAATGTTTTATAATCCTTTTCATTCATCCTCACAAAAAGTTATTGGAGGGTCACTGGCAGAAAAAAATCTCAGTCGAGGAACAAAACGCAACATAAGGCTACATTGGTTGAGCTGAAACGTGAAGCTATGTCTCATTTCCACCAGACCACAGTGACATTATAATTAGCTATTTTCCTTTGAGGATTTCTAAGGAAATCTCTACTAACCATAAAGTCCAACATCCAATAAATTGACATGAGTTATATCTATAACAGTTCATTCAAAATTAACCAAATGCTCATGTTTTGTGAGAAACAAATCCAGAGAGAATAGTCACATCTTCCTTTCTGTCCTAGAGCAGAGTTTCTTAAACTGTATTCCTCCAGATGTTTTGAGCTTCAGCTCCCACAATTCTTAACTGGATTGAATTCTAATCTGGCTGAATTTCTGGGAGCTGAAGTCCAAAACACCTGGAGAAAGTTTGAGAAACACTGAAATACTTCTTCCTCAATTAACTACAGAATCACTTATTCTTTTTAACTCGGAGATGCCTTTCTGAATAGAACTTAATTTCTAAATTCTTAAATATTCAAATCAGTTTTAAAAGTTGCTGCTGATTGTTGTTGTTGTTATTGTTGTTGTTAACCTGCTACCCAGCCACAAGGGCTCTCAGAGGAGCTTACAAACAGTTAATTTTGTAGTTCCCTGACCTTTAAGTTTACAATCTAAAAAAGACAGGGCACACAAGGTAAAAGGAATGGCAGTGGGGGAGAGAGGATTGGTCTCTTTCCAAGGCAAGGGCAGTGATAGTTGGGATGGACGCCCTTTTATTTGCTTCTGTGCCTAGGCATGTTGGAGCTGTGCCTGCCTCTTCTTCCCCCCTGAGTTCAGGGCAATGACAGTTGGGATGGAAGGGGGGAAGGTCATCTGCTTCTGGGTCTAGGCATGCTGGAGCTGTACCTGCCCCTTCTTCTCTCCTCTTAAGGCCAAAATGGTGGCAGTTGGGAGGGATAGAGTGTCCTTCAGCCGCTTCTGGCTTAGGCATGGTAGAGCTGTATCTGCTTTTTCTTCTTTTCCTCCCAGGCCTGGCTAATTTGCCAAGTTGGCTAATTCTAGTGATGGAAATATGATGCAGGAAATACAAGAAATACAACTACAATTTAACTACTGCTCTACTGGGAACTTCTTTTTGACTGTGTAAAGTAAAAGTATTGTACTATGGACAAATGTGAGACCCAGGCAAAGAACTGTTCTAATATTTTTGAAGAACAGATTAACTTGTCTAAGTAAGGCACATGAGTTATCAAATAAATGGTACCACATCTAATCTATCTCATCTTAATTTCATCACAATAGTGCACAAGTTGGGTGTAAAAAGTAGTATTTGCAGGCAAATAACTCCCAAGATTTTCTCAAGTTCAGAAGAGAGAAGAAGAGAAAAACAGTTTCCTTATAAGAAATTGAAGCAGCTGTCGAAACAGCACTCAAATAAGATCTCCCAACTGTTCTAAGTGAGTTTATTTCCAAGTAATTGTCATCCATATTGTTTTTCTGATCTGTTAGAATGAATAACGTACAAAGCTACTCTTGGAAAACACCTCTGACCACATTTCCCCTTAATAAAAGGAAACAGGCATTTGGGGAGTGCTAGGTGTCATTCTTATTATTGCTGGCTTTCAAAATAAACAACAATAAGCAAATGTAGGTAAGAAACTGATATACAACATGAATAACAACATGAGTCAAAATTAACTTTTAACATACTCCAGAAGGAAAGAGAAACAATGATATATGGACTTGATTTAGCATTCTTGCTTTTGGGTTGCTGTTTTTCAGGCTGTATGGCCATGTTCCAGCAGCATTCTCTCCTGACATTTCACCTGCATCTGTGGCTGGCGCCTTTAGAGGTTCTGATGGCAGTGAGGCAAGTGGAGTGTATATATATTTGTGGAATGTCCGGGATGGGAGAAAGAACCCTAGGTAACAGAGGACAGGCTACTTCTATGCAATTACCCTCACTGATTGTCTTTACAGTTTCATCAATGCTATTCAAGCTTGCTAATTGCAACATTCACACTTGCTTTAAACAGACAAGGGTTCTTTCTCCCACCCTGAACATTCCACATATATACACTCCACTTCACCGGCTATCCCTGTGATAATTGGATTTTGAAAAATTTGGCTTGTTGTGGAAACATGGATTGTTGTGGAAACAAGTGAATTTCCCTCCAAGGGGCAGATTTCTCTTCCTTCCTGTTGTCTCACCCCCATTCTTAACAATGAGTCATTTGTAAGTTGGATGTTTGTAGCTCAGGGACTGCCTGTACTTGTTACTAATAGAAACTCTGCATTTGAGATTTTTATTTTGATAGTAGGCAGCCTATCAAATCATTACCAATCACTAACACAATTGTAATGTACTTTCAAACCACAACTGATTAAGTTAAAAGCAAGAGAAGGGAAACATTTTAAGGGTTAAATCCAACTTAGTCTAAACTACAGTAGATCCATTAAAATTTATAAGATATTTGGTAATACTGACTTACCATTTAGTAAGTGAACTAAAGAATCAGTCAGGACAGCATGATCCGTGTGTGGAAAATCAGATGTGGCAAATTCAAAATATAGTAAGCTTATTTAGATCTCCATTCTCTACCAGCTGTGGCAG